TGTACTTTTAAAATGAATATTACTTATGCATCTAATAAATATCAATATAAACAAAGAGCACTGCAGACTGGGAGTAAATGTAATGAAAACTCATCATCCCAGGGTTAAGCATTGTTTAGAAGGGAGATGAGTACATGATCGGAAATCATGTTTTGCAAACTACTGAGAGACTGATCTACAAAATAAAATGTGAGCATGGGGAAAACATTCAAATCTTCCTGTGGGAGCTGGAGAAGGCCATAATAAAACTATTTTAATTAGGGTGAGTTGCAATAAGTAGGCATTCAGAAGAAAATAGTAAAGGAAAGGGTGGTCCAAGGAGCAGGTTCAAAAGGAAGAAGAGACTAGAAGAAAGTAAACTATAGCACAGAAAAGGTCAGAAAAAGCCAGAGCATGAAGCATTTTCTTCTTGCAAAAAGGATATTTATTCTTAGTGCAGATATAAAAATATTTCATAGTCAACACAAACACACACAGGCACTGATGGATAAAATGTTTTCAATTCATGGCACTAGAGCTAGATATAAAAGGCTCTGCTGGGCTAGTCGTAGGCACATCTGCTACCAGTTGAGGAAAAGCCCATGTGAGTCCTAAAAGCAGATGCCAGAAGTACAGCAAGGGAAAATTGAGGGGTAAGTAAGAGCAAAATTTGCCAACTGTTATTTTTAACTACAGGTGTATAATATTAATACGAATAAGAACTACATAATGGTATTTCAAAATGAATAGACATCAGATACAAAGAGCCCAGATAGAAGAAAGAGGAACGTAAGAGTTTTCCCGACTGAAATTACAGTAGAGGCAAGCTCTAGTGTTCCTAAGACAATCTCAGAGTTTTAAATATTAAGGAAGCTTTTGATAACTCTTACTTAACTTCAGCCTAATACTCTCAATCCTGACCTGGGATCCCAATCAGCACGATTAAGAACTAGTAGAGTCTAAGAACAATATGGGTATAAAAAGACAGAAGTAGCAAAATGAACAAAATGTGTCAAATTACAACTCTACATTTCTTTAATATAAGCAAGGGAACTCAACCCTTGACAAAATATAACTAACTCTGTGTAATACCTTTGATGCCTCACTTCTTTAAGGAAAAATTGAAATTAATTATCTATGATATTTACTCTTGAAACAGAAATTTACTCTTGTGTAATGTTTGCCAGAGGTGTCTATGTTATTTATTGTGAAATTTTGTTATTATAATACTTGTGCTTTCAAACGCTTTCCCTGAGTCTGATAACAACTTGTCCAACTAGCAATTCTATTAGTAGGTAAGTGATTTACTCAGTCAAAATCAAAGAATAACCATGACTTAGGGGCAACAATTAGATTCACCCATCACTGAATGCGTCTTTGCATCCATACAGCACTAGTCTACTGCCAAAGGGATTTGAAGAGTCTTGACATCCCATTGGAGAATTGCAAACTTAGGGAATGGCAGCATTAATATGTTAATGTGTGAGATATTCTATAGATCTCCTAGATTTTCCGAGTTCTCCTAAAATCTCATCATAGAGAATGGTTTCTATTACATTAGGAATGTATGATTATGAAAGTCTTATAAAGTATTTGATCATTGTGACCCATACATTCTGTTAAGAGAAAGTTGCACACAGCAATTGTGTACTTCTATTTGCTAGGTGACACTCAAAGTGATCAAACTGTTTGTTGTAATAATGAATTTTTTTCATCTGAAATTTGAATTGCTTTGATGAACTATGGTCATGAGCAATGAGAACTATGAAAGGACATGTATCCATGGTATTTTTATCAAGTATTTTCATTTACATGTGTATCTCTCATGGCATACCTAAACACTACTGATTAAAAACAATAATTTCAATTTATGGTGTTCACACAAAAGTTTGAGTGATAATTAACATTTTTTGTGATCAATGTGTTTTGAAATGTTGAATAAGTAAGCAAAGGTGAATAAGAACAGAAGCCAAACATTAACTTCCCCTCATTCAAATGAATGGCTCTTATCACACGTGGTATGCAATGTTTTTTCATGATCATGGGTACCAAGTGCTTCTTGTTAGGTAGCATACTCAAGGGTTGCATTAATAATTGTAAACCTAGTCATTAGGAGTACAGAATTAATACAAGCATCTGTACAAATTGGTTCTTTAATTAGACTCAGTTTCCTTGGAAAATTTTGCCATCATTCATATAAAATCACTACTTAAAGATTATTTGCAAAATATTCATTGTGATTTCTGATTTTTATGTGCTCTATGCATGTGTAAACACTGAACTATTTGCTGAAGGTAAAGTGCATCATCCTTATAAGCTATGCTGTTCATCTTTTAATTGCTCACAGGATTCAGAACCTATAAACTTCCTGCTGAAGTAACAAAAGAGATACATCTTCCTTCCTCATAGTTTTTCTTCAACAATGAACATTTAATCTTTGTTAATCAGACACACACAAAAATGATTATTAGTGATCATTGTTGCTCAATAAACTGGATTCATGAATTTCTACATCTGTACAATTTGTTCTTTTCATAGTTCCTTTTGTGTTTCTAGAAAAACACACCTGAGACTAGAAAACTTACAATAAAAGAAGAAGATTTTGGCTCATGCTTATAGAGGCTGGGAAATCCATATTCTTTTGGCTTATGGTGGAAAGCAGAGGAGAATAGAGAGAAAATATGGAAGAAAGCTCATATGGATATTGAAACAATGAGGAGGTCCCATGTTCATTTTCTCATTACCTGCTCTTGTACCTGATCCTATCTCTAGACAGCTACAGCTCATTCCCACATGAAAAGCTCTGCTCCTTCTTAAAGGCCCCCTCAACTCTCACAGAATCATGTTGGAGACCAAGCCTCAGCATGAGTTATGGGAGAGACAAACCCTACTCAAACCACATCAGTTCTGAGCATGTTGTGGAGTTGTTTTTAAAAGGAAAAAATACATTTATAAAAATCATTCTGTGGCAAATGATTTTAAACTGCTGGCTGTCATTTTCTTCCAAATAGGTCATGTAATGTTTTGATAAAAAGTGAATTCTACTTTGTAATAAAAAATGCAGAAGCAAATATATAAAAGAAGGTGAAGATTTCTACCACCTTGTTTACTATATTTTTAATATCTGTTGGGAAAAATCGTACACCTATGATTTAAAAGTATTCTTTCCTATAGATTTCTGCAGCATGCCATATAGGGTCATAATTACTTATAACACAAATAGGAAGTTAACATCCAGCTTTAAAGCTGAGGAGCTTAGCAACTTTAAGAAGTCCTCGCCTGGGAAATCTTCTTTCTATCTATTCTATTGGTCATGTATTTTGCTTAGACATTTTCAACAAATATTTATTAAATACCTGCTAGGTATAAAAATTATTGGAACTAACATACATGTTTGATCTCTTGCCACGAAGGAAAGAATCTAATTTATCCCTGTGAAATATTCTGCCCTTTACATGTATTTTATTGAAGAGAAGAGTTTCTTGGTAAAATATAACTATATTTGTCCTCAGTTTTGATGTTTCTTTACTAATGCTCCCCCTGTAGAATTCTTAGCAAAGGCAAATACCAAAAAATCCATGTGAAGTATTAACTGTATAATATTTAATGAGGTATTTTTTTATTCATTTCTAAACTTTACAATGTGAAATAGAAATCTTCATACACAAAGTAAGTTTTACAAAATCAAATACTAGAGTTCACTAGGTTTTTTAACAACATTTACTGTACTCTCATCACTTTGTATATAGTCATAATTGGTAGTATTTATGGGTCACCTACTATGTACAATATGGTGTTAAAACTGTTTTCCATATCGAAAATTTACTTGATTCTCACAACATTAGGAATTATGTTTTATCCCTATTTCATTGAAAATTGGTTTAAAACCACAAATAGTGAGTCTTTGGCTTAGTAAATAAATGCACCCATTTGACTATTCCTTTTTCAGAAGAGATAGGTGAGTCATGATGAATGCCTTAACTACTCTCTACCTCAACTTTATTATATGCCCTATTATAATAATACAAATACCCTATAGTATGGTAGGTGTTGTTTTAGTATCACATTCCAGAAACAGAGACTCTGCTCCCTCTCCATTTTCTGGGGGTGTTAGTAATTCATGGCCCGCATCTGTTCCCCACTGAAAGATTTTCTTGGGCCAAAGGGCACAATATTGGCTAGGAAATCCATCTCCCCCCCTTCTGGGCAGATGATTGACTATTTATAGGTTTTTAATATCACATGTTCTTTCTTACATATGGAAGCCTGAAAAACTTAATCTGAATGTGTAATAGTGAATACTATAGTCTAGGAGGTTGGGATGAGGTAATAAAGGATGGATGGATAATAGGTACCTGATCAAGGGTAGATAGAAGTGATGAGTGCTGATGTTCTACAGCAAAGTGGGGTCAAAATAACCTTTTATATGTTTTACAAATAACTAAAAGATAGGAGCTCAAAGGCTGCACACACAAAGTAATGGTAAAAAGATGGAAATATTACAAACCTGATGTGATCTTTACATACTATATACATGTAAATTCATGCATTCAACAATTTTTGGAAAAGGCCATTCTTCCACTCAGGGCAGACTGAACTTTACTTCAGACCATGTTCTTCTTTAGCTCTTTGCCCTTCCCTGTCCTGATTCACTGCCTCCCTTAGAGATTTTGCTAAGTGTCCTTCCTGAACAAAGCACAGGCAATCTGATTTACATATCAGTCTGTTTCTTGGAAAAATATAATAAATTATAACAAGCATGAGAACCAAAGTACAAGAGTTCATTAGTGCAAATTTTATACCAATTTATTTTAATAGGCATGTGGAGAATCACCAATAACATCAAATTTTAAGTGAGACAACCAGCAATGAAATTTGAGTCCATTGGTCTGACAAATCCTGTTTGAGATCATGTTAGCCAAGATTTACTTGCACAACCAGCTTTTGCCAAAACAGGAAACAGGTGTAATATAAACACAGGTCTGAGCTTCTCTGTTTGGCCACCTTCCTTCTTTCAGCCGATGAAACAGACACTTCATCCTACTCTGAGAAACAACGGTAAGTGCCAACACCTTTATTTTAAGATGAGCATTTCTTTTTTTTTCTCAGTTTTCCTGAGCATTTATTATAAGGCTCCAACATTGCTTTATGAACATTTCATTTTTATGATACATTTATAATTTCATTGACAAATTATAAATGTATCGTTGATACATTTATGTACATTGATGTATGATTTGCAAATTTGTACTGATAACTTTTATTGAGAGAAATTATCTTAACATACTAGTAAACTAAGAAGATAACATATATGTAGTTCTATTATTCTAGAAGCACTTTTATCCAATATGATATTTACATGTTTTTTAAATTCTACAATTATCAATGTAACCAATTTCATGTCTATGACTTTATATAAACATTACATTAGAACTATGTTTAATAAAAAATAAAAAACTATAATATGTTCACAGAGTAATTTTTATGAATACTAACACATTATGGCTGTGCATTAGTACAAACATTATTACAAAAGGAATGAGAAATCATCCTCGCCAATAGTTTCAGGTTGGTCAAAACAAAATTATAATACCAAGCTAGAGATAAATTTTCTTACTGCTCCTCAACAGGAAACATAATTCCCCAGGAAATGCACACAAGACAAAAGGAAACAAAAGACTTTTAGTTTTCCAATAAAACGTCCATTCACTCTGGCAGCCACATTAATACAAGTAACTTAAATGTAGTTTTTATTGGGCATATTTCACACGAGGAAGCAATTTCCACAAGGCCCTTACATTTTGTGGTAGATAAGAAACGATTCTGAGCAATATTAGTACATACAAAAAAACAAAACAAAAACAAACACCAAAATGAAAGAAGTTACACATCACTAGAGAGAAGAGTTTACTTCCAAAGAGTATTTCCTAGTGCTATTCTCCTCTATGGTTAAATGCCATCCAGAAAGCTTTGCATGTATTTACAGTCTTGCCAGAGGTCACAGTTGGCTCATCTGCCAGTACCAAAACCTAGAAGCTCTATTTGCATGACTAAACTTCTGAAGGAGGATCAAAAGAGGCTAAATTGATGACTAGTTTCGCCCTGGAGCTACTCTGTAATGATGCCTGTGAGGTCAACCAGGGCCCCTGCACTCATCTCTGATTTGTAGGACACAGGGGTAAACTGAGAAACAGTGTCAGGATTTTCAAGTAATGTTGATTGTATACCTCTAAGAATTTCAGTGATAATTTTAGTATATCAAGGAAAGAGGAGGGGATTAATTCTTGGAAAGAAAAAATGCTTTTCATGAATTAGTAAGGCAACTGTGCTTTGGATGTATTTCCAGGTTTTCTACCTTGCAAGGTACAGTCATTTTGCACACTTTGTACACACGGGCGTAAGCTGCTATGTGTCTCAGAAATACATAATGAAATGAAAAAAGTGACCTAAATAAAGCTTAGATGTTATATTTAAATTTAGAAAATGCTACACCAGATACTTTTTGATACTGTGACTAGTTATTACTGTGTGTATACATAATGCATATATATATATAATCCATGTATTTCATGCATATGTGCTGATGTTTTTGCTGATATCTTTTCCAATCTACATAATACTTCTAAATACTTCAGTGTCATGCTCTGAGGATTGAGGGATTTGAAGCTGAACAGATGGGACTGTTGCTCAATTCTGTTGCTTTTTGTGGCATCTCATTATTAAATCTCTGACCCTAGATCTGCCCATCTGTAAACTGAGGTGTTGAGTAACCATATCTATCTACCAGGTTTTTATGAGTTTTAATGAGGCCCCCAGAGAGTGAGATAGCACAGAACGCATCATCACATCTGTTAAGATTGCGTGGAGTTAACTCAGGGCAAAGAAGTGTGGACCTGACAAACTCATGTGAATCATTTTATCTATTTCTACACTTAATTCATGTACATCTAACTTGGTAGGTACTGTTCAAAAAGGAGCTTGTTTTATTTCTGCTCTATGGTGAGCCAGGTTCCACAACACTTCACACTATACAACAGGTTCCTTTTCCCGTTCTTCCAGTGCTAGCTTGTTTGCCTGTCAATTTCTAGAAAGCTCCACCAGCCATTTCATCTGTTTGTTACTAGATAACATTAAATTTAGTGAGAAGGGTTTGAAGTCCAGGACAGAAAGCTCTGTCAACTCATTCTTCTTTTAAAAAGTTACTTAAGACTCAAGTGGTAGAGCCCTTACCCAGCATGCCCAAGACCTTGGGCTCAATCATTAGCACCATAGAAAAGTAAATATATAAAAATTAAAATTTAAAAGATTATTTAGTTATTCATGAACAAATTTGAATTATAAATAATAATCACGAGTTTAATTAAGATTGACAATTTTGTTTTATTAGCACATACCAGTTAAGAACATGAAAAAGGGCTAGAGGAGTGGTTCAAGTGGTAGAGTGCCTGCCTACCAAACGTGAGCCCCTGAGTCCAAGTCCTGGTACTGCAAAGAAAAAAAGAAACAGAATAAAACCTTCATTTATTCAATATGTATTTGTCCTTTTCTCGGGTCTTAATGTTTCTCCAAAAGGATTTTCTTATTCTTGTTTGATTCCTGGAGACTTTGTAGTTCTGTTACTGTTATGAGTGTGTTATATAAAATCCTTATTTTCTAGTTGAGTTTTGCTAGTATATAGCAGTGGTTTTTTTAGAAGTAATCTGCATATAGAAAACTTCATTATTGTATGTTTTCTAGCTAAATGATCATATTATTTGAAAATAATGATGATTTTATCTTTCAATTTATAAGATATACAAATGTCACACATATTAAAATGTTTTATACACACACACACACACTCTTAAGGCTTTGATCAAGACCTCTCAAGTACTATGTTAAATAATAGCATTAGTCATTCTTTTTTTTTTGGTCCCAATACTAAACGGAGTGCACACAGAGCTTTTCAAATAACCATTACATTTCCTGTAAACATTTTGCATAGCCTTTTTTATTACCTGGTGGATATTGAACCCAGGGCATTACATATTGGTAGGCAAATACTCTACCACAGAGATACATTGCCACCCAATATTTGCTATAGACTTGCTAGCAAAGTATGGATCTAGTCTGCTCTCCTCTGTTCTTTTTTAAAATAAAACTGTAGATATGAATTAAATTTAATAACGTTTATGCAAAGTGATTTTTCATCTATCATTGTGTCAGATTTTGCCAATGAATTTCTATTGACTCATCCTTGCAGTCCTTTTGTGAAATAAGCCTATGTATCATTTAGTATTCTGCATTAATGCAATGAAATACCTGAGGCAGATTAACTTTATAAAGTGGTTTATTTAGCTCACAGTTTGGGCCTTCAAGGGCATGGGGCTGTCATCAGTCAGTTCTGGTGATGGCCTGCTCGGTTGTTACATCATGGTGGGATAGGAATGGTGAGAACACAAGCAGAGTAAACAGTCACATCCAAGATCAGAACCAGAAAACATTAATGGGACAATACCTAGGCTTATGTAAAAACCCACTCTTCAGCAAGAACAGGAGATTTAAAAGATCTATGTTCATCCTTTCAGACTAGTGTTTTCAACTGACCTCAGTACCTCTTGCTACGTCCCAGTCCTGCCTCTTAACAGTTGCACACTACCTACAGTACCACCAGAGGGGACTGCGCTCCCAACACATGAGCCTTTGGGGGGACCAATGCTATCCACATGACGACATCCTCATTGTGTTCGAGAGTCACTCCATGCTTGATTTCCATTTGTGGCCTCCTTTATGCTTACATGACTACTTCCCCATATGCTGTTTTTTTCCTGAAGTATAACCTGAAAGATGTCAACAAGTAGAAATATTTTAAGACTACCTTCTAAGACAGACAAGGATAATAATAAAAGTAGAGCATGTTATAAGAGAAATAAGGATGTAAAAGTTACAGTGTAGAAAATTTGTGCTTAGTTGCTAAAACAGAAGTTCTCAGACACTCAATTTAAAGGCAAGATTTGAGACTTCTGTTTGTTAGAATGGTAAGATAGGCAAGTTTTTCCTATCTACCCACAATTAACTTTGAAGGAACTAGAGAATCAAGATGGAAACACAGATTCCAAGAAATTGTGAAAATCTGAGTAAGATAAATAGTTCATGGCCATTTGTGTGTGTGTGTGTGTGTGTGTGTGAAGTGGACGGGAGTGCTCCATCCCAGAACAGATGCTGCTCAGAGGATATAATGAAAGTAATTCCTCTTAGTTCATGGCTTTGCCTCAGAAAACCTTTGGCTTCCCTTTCATTGTAAAATTATGCAGCAACAAAACAAGCACTGCTCTGATGTCATATTATTCCATTGATGATGTTAAAGCCTTCATAATTCAGTCACGTCCCAAAGACCCCAACTCAGAATGCAGTCACATTGAAGACCACATTTTCAACAAATCAGCTTTTGGGGGACATTTCATACCCAAGTTATAACAACAAAAGCATAAGAATCAAAATGAAAAACCACGTGATGGAAAGACTGGGTGACATACCTGTAAAAAAAATACTTTTAAGACATCGAATGATAAAGAACTTTCAGTCCCTTCCTAGGCAATAGTAAAGGAAAATAATAACAGGATACCTGTAGAAATTGCTTGTATTCAAATGAACAGGAGGAAAACAGCAGTCATTTTCCTCATTCTTTTCAAAGCATGCTGTGTGACTCTACAAAATGAACCTGCCAATAAATCATATTCAACTTGCACTTGTTTACAGAAACACCTGGGGAAGAGGGCTGAGATAAAGCTAAAAACTTTCATGAAGATTATGAGAAAGAAGATACAGCTTTATCATATTTATTGCATTTGAAATGTTGCTTCCACAGGTCCAGATTGTTCTAAAGTCTTTCCCATTCTTCTCCAAAAAAGTACTGGCATGGGTCAGAGTAAAAGAAAATAAAACTGTACACCCATAAAATGTGCACATTGGAAAAATTCAACCACTCAAAAATGTGGTACTTAAACAATGTACTCCCTTGTTGACTCCTTGTGCTAGGAATCATGTCTTGTTCACTTGATCGTGTCCAGCAATATCTAGTACACTATCCTGGAATGGGTTGCAAAACAAAGTCAGTGTGTTTTAAAGGAAAGAACGATGCTAAATTTTCTTTAATGTGAAGAAATAATAATGATAAGTTAGTCTATTTCACTCTTAAATTCTCAGAGGCCCACCTGATTTCACTGCCAAAGGGACTTGCATTCCCAAGAGAACCAGGCTAGGAATGAAACCTCTGGAGATTCCAAAAATCTCTGCAGCTTCACCACTGAATGCATACAGAATGAACAATCCTTATCCATAGGCACTTAAAGGAATGTGAAAATGGTAGTCTAACCTTTCAAAATCACGATATTGTTATATACAACAGGGCAAATGCACACAAAATGGGAGAAATAGGAACTGTACATCAACATGAACAAATGAGTATAATTGAATTTACTGTGCAGACTTAAGTGTCTCTATTCAGTGACATAGTCAGTATTTTTGGAGTTTTCTTGTGACTTTCTTTGGAAGAGAGAATCTGAAGTGAGTAGCTAGCTATTTTCCATCTTTAAGGATTAGCATTGATCAAAGGCATAAGAGGCACATGATTATAGAATAACAAAGACTTATGTAAGGAGACTGTCTTGACAACAGTTAAGGAAAAAAGACTAGGATCTACCAGATAATGTTAACAAAATGTGTGCAGAAAATTTATCAAGGTTTGCATTGGAATCACTTCACAAGGAAGAAGGAGAAGAATGCAAGATTTGGAGAGGTCGATGAGGTCAAGGTGTAACATCAGGAAGTTTCCAGCCAACAATATAAGTAGTTCTATGAGTGGAATGATGATCAGAGTTGTCTCCAGTTAAGGCAAAAAGGTCAGAACTATTTATATCATACCTACCAGACACAGGACAAGGATATACAGGAAAGGAGACAGCCCAGGAGGCTGTCCTTAGCATAGGTGATCTCTAAAGGGCTGGCAGCTGAAGTATTTCCCCTGGCGCCACTGCTAGATGAGGAAGCAAGCATGCCAAAATAAAATAAAAGCAATCATGTCAATGCCAAGATTTTCATGTAGGTGATGAAACTCATGCTTTCCAATGGCTTTTGTATTGCTTATTTTCTCAAACCTCACAAGAACCCAGGAGGTGACCCTATGTCACCATTATTATAATTTGACAAGTAAAAATTTTCAGTTCCATAAAATTAGCTAGAGATAATCTAGGTATTTCCCAGATTCTTAACCCACTGCTTTTTCATTATGATCCTACCACATGCCAAGTTCTATGTTTGCTCAATATAGGGTCAGGAATTTCTACAGTCTGAATTCTCTCCTTGTGACAATAGCCTATATTTTTGTGTTATGCAAAATAAGATAATTTATGTTTTCCTTTTTGTTTTTGGCAGCACTGGTATTTGAACTCAGGGCCTTGTGCTTGCTAGATAGGCACTCTTCCACTTGAGTCATGCTCTCAGTCCATCTTTGTTTTCCTTTTTTTATCTTCAACTTTTTTCATCTTATTCTTCTCTCTCTTCCTTGGTTCTACAATATAGCTGTAGTTTAAACAAAGTTTACCATTTTCGTAGTCCTTCTAGTGAATGGTACAGGTGGCTAAATCTCCACAACATTGTAGAAAAACCTGCATAATTTCTGTTCCTTTCAGGAACAGACCAGTAATATTCAGACTTATCCTAATATCTTTCCTTCTGGATTCTACTTATTAAAATAGATAAGACTTCATTAGAATGTCCTCCCACCAAGTTCCCTGTTATTTTGGGAAATATACAGTAATGGTGTTCACAATAATATATATCTTTAAACCAAGATGAATGTCCTGAAAAACATTCTCTTCCTAAGAGCAGACTCTTAGGAATCTGCTGTATGTTTGAAGGGTAACAGAAAAGAACAGATTGTGAATACTGACTTAGGATTGCTTCCTAGTTTCCCCAAGTATGTGCTCAGTAATATACAAGCTGTTTGCTAGCTACTAAAAATGTTTAGGAATGCATGATTTTTTCTATACAGGGAGAATAATATGTATTACATGCTTTCATTTTTCTTAGAACCTCAGGCCCCCAGAAAGTACAATGTAGTTACTGAGAAGTGAATATTGAGGTTAAAAAAACTTGGAATTTGTCTTAAACCATACAGTATCTGTGAAACCATCAAAAGGTTCCTTAATACCTCTTTTCCTCCTTCCCTCTCTTAGATTGGTATCATTATGCCAAAATCATCGATTTTTCATAGAGTGCAAAAGTAATTGAAATAATAGGTCTAGAAAACTCAGAAGAATTCCAAGAGTTAATAATCTCTTCTAATAAATGTTTTGTCCTTTGTGAATTACTATAATACAATAATGTAGACTTTCATGGAAATTACAGAAAAGAAAGGAATATCTTCTTATGTAAAGATATACTACTTCTCTTGTTCTTCTATTTAGACTCTTTCCTTGGCCTGTTGTTTGATAGTTGATTTTGTAGGAAGAGGATACAGGATCCTTTTTCTTAGACTGTCTTCTAGGAAATTCATTAACGTATCCATTGTAAGACCTTCCCATGTTATAAAGTCATCAATGCCTCTATGCAATAGAATGTCTACTGACACATTCTTAAAAACAGCACAAAGTACCTACCGTAGATGGGTGTGATACATCAATGAGAAAAATGAAGCTATACTAAGATATAATACTAGATGGTAGTCAGAACTAAACCACACTCTCATTGTATCTTAAACACACCTGCCAGAATACAGATCAGCAGCTCTGGGTCTCATATTTCTCCATATTATACACATTGGAACTCATTCAAAAGGTAACCTAACCCTCAGAAATCAAATATGAGGATGTGTATTGGTTTCATCAAACAACCTAATGAAATACCATAAACCGAATGGCCTGAACAATAGAAATTTAATTTTTTCTACATCTGGAAGCTAAAAGTTCAAGGTCAAAATGTCAACATGGTTGGTTCCTGGCGAGGACTTCCTTCCTGGTTTGCAGATAGGCACTATCTCACTGTGTTCTTTCATGGCCTCTTTTCTGTGCATGTGGGGGAGGGCGAGGGAAAGAGAAGTACAAAGAGCACATTCTGAAGGACAGTAACCAACCCTATTGGATCAGGGCCCTAACCTTACAACGTCATTGAACTTTAGTAACTTTCTCACAGGTTCTATACCCAAGTAAAACAAAATGGGGGTTAGGCATCAATATACAAATTTAAGAGGGTGAGGACACAAAAATTCTGTCCCTAACAGATTAATGTTCTGCTTTTTTAACTTAATTTGGTATCATGGGGATTTTTCTTATTCTTACAAAACTACCATAAACATATAGTGAACTTTACATCTAATATCCTTAATAAGAGAATGTATTCCAATGCATTTAGACATTTTATCTCTCTATTGTTGAACATGTAATTAATTTATAGTGTATTTACCAATATATGTATATTTGTTAGGAAAATAATGTGAACATATTAAGGATATTAATACAGCTGAGGTTAGAAATCCCTTAAAAGTGACAAATCAAATTATAATCTTCCATTTTAAGATACAGGAGTCATATGTTGTGCTTTATGGAGTTTCAGACATGATACTAAAGATAAAGTTTTAGGAATATATGAGTTTGCACACTGGCTACATGAGCAAAGTTGAGAAGAATAGTTTAAAAGTATGAAAGAACTGCACGACCTCCTTAGAGGATTTATTTAGGATACTAAGAATGTCAGTGAAGGTGCCAGAACCTGGACAGGAAGAAATGGCACATGCCAAGTTCTAATTGAAAGAGAAGTTAATAAAGGGATATTTATAAAATCATAGGCAGGGCTTAAAGTAACCCTCAAGCCTAATCACAGTAGCACTGCTGTAATAGTAACAAGTGGGGAGCTCTTGCTACTCCTGAATGGACAATGTGAAGAAGCATTCCTACAACCCAGAGAGAAGCTACAGAGATCAGAGTGTGGCATGGAGAGGAAGAGTATGCTGTCCTTAGGGTTTATAGGTGTGGAGCACGAGGTCCTTAGGGTTTATAGGTGTGTTAACACAGGCTTCAGTTAAGTATTTCCCTTTATTTATCATTGGTCATATCATGGGTGTGCTTCTGAGGCTGATTTCATGATTATTCTGCTATTACAGGGACAATTCTCTTTTTCCTTAATGAATTTGGGATAGTGGATCTCATTACTTCCCCTCCCTCCCATGTTACTCAGAAGTCCATGCAATAAACATTTTAATGGAGGTCTTTGTTCCCTTTGTTGTTCATGTGTTATTTCTTTCCTAGCAATGGCTCCATTCCCAGCGTTGCTGTTCCTGGTTGCTGTGCTGATTCCATCCTGTCCTGCATATGTGTATGAGGTATGGTTGAGGTTGAATAGCTTTTTAGAACAATTCAGGCAACCATGAGCTACTAGATCAGTCTTCAAAAGTGAAAGGTCTGGAGTGCTGAGAACATCACAAAGTACTCATTAGTAGTTCAGGACAGTCAACACAAGTTTAGAAATGTAGTAACCAATATGGTAGCCCCCAGACACCACAGAGTGTTGAGCACTGAATGCATGGTATGTCTGAATCAAGGTGAGTTAAAGTTTAAAATATACAGCAGATTTCAAAGTCAGTGCAAAAAATGAAACAAAGACCTCATAAGTTCAATATTGATGACAATTAAAATGTATTTCTGGTATATTTTTCAACAGTAAATGCTTTAACATATTTTTTCAGTGTAATTACCAAAACATTAAAATTGCTTCAATTATATTTGTATATAACAACACAGATATGTGGATTTATAACCAATGAAACTCCTCTCAGTCAAAGAAAATATTATAATTGTTTTTATTTAATCCAATGTGATACCTACAATTAACAACATATTTATATATACTCTCAACTTAGAATTGCCTCTTCACATGCACTGCTGTATCGTATCTTCACAGATATTGTGTGAGAAAAATTATACCTGTTATTTAAGTTAAAGAATTTACCAAAGGTGGGCTAGGGATGTAGCTTAAAAACAGAGCACTTGCCTAGCATACAGAAGACCATGGGTTCTATCCCCAGCACATTACTAAAACTATTAAATGTATTTTCCCTACTTATGCAGTAAATATATACAGGAGTAAATGCTCTGGTTATTTATAAGATGTTCCTTTATTAAATAATGCCAGAAACAAGCTCAATCATCAAGTTTAATGATCAAGTTTGCGGTGTCCATAGAAAGTATTTGTCTACTGGTTAAAAAGCCTCTTAATGTTAATTAGCCATATTTGGACATTGCTATCTGTTCTCACATACTTCTTTGGCTTTGGGGCACAAGATGCTAGCCCAGATTTTCTAAGAATATAAAACTCCAACAACTGGTTCAAACCTAATCCGCCATACAGAATATAATCTGAGTGTCACATGATTTGTATGACTGTGCTACCATCATCAATTATCAATCTTGAGATAATCTATTTGTCACCTAGGGCTTCATTTAAGATAATTGCTGTTTAGTTTTTTTCCTAATAAGGTTGTGTATTATTTCCCTTTGAATCACGTATTAGCTATTTTCTAGTCCTTTTTTTTCATTTAAGAATTTTTAAAAATTGAATATCAGAGAGATCCAGAATCTCTCTTCTTGTGAAGCTTTCTTTGACCATGACCATGACAAATGAACCCTCTTTATAAAAGGAGAGTTCCCCTTTGGTATGTGGTATTTTGACTGTTTAGGTCATATGCCTATCCCATACGAACTCTTCAAGGACAGATACTATATTTTACCCATTTTATTCACAACACTGCCAATGTTTTTACTGTGTAATAAAACTTTATTGATGCTTGTTTAGAAAAATCAAATATATCTCTTGTTCAATTGAATTTTTATCTGCAAAGCAAGATGGTTTAAGAAACAAGCTAATTACTTCTTTCTCAGAAACCAACTATTATGGTGTTTTGAGATGAAACAATCTTGAGCAGGTTTTTGAGGAATCTAAGGAAGGTATTTTATACTTTGATAATCATAGAGATTATCCACTATTTTTATTTTTATTTTTTGATACTACTGGGGGTTGAATTCAGGCCCTGGAGCTTGCTCGGCAGGCACTTTGTGACTTGAGCTACTACACCAGCCTATTCTTTTTTTTTGCATTAATTATTTTTCAGATATAATCTCACTTTATGCCTACTCTGGCCTCAACCACGATTCTGCTCTTTGTGCTTCCCTACATAGCTGGGGTGGAAGGCATGTGACACTACCCCCAACCATTGGTTGAAATGGTTCCCTGAACTTTTTGCTCAGGCTGGTTTCACTGTGATCCTCCCAATCTCCACCTTCTAATAGCTAGGATTACAGGCTTGAACCATCACACACAACCTTATCCAGTACTGGTTTTTAACATCCGCATCTTTTCTATCTTAGGAGTCACTAGCTATATGAGATCTATTGGCATGAAGCATTCACTACATAAAAGCAACAGGAAAAAATGGATGTGTATAGATAATAACAATAAGTACAGTCTTTTGAGAGACGTGAGGGAACTCGGTATGGCCAGAGATATGGGTTACTTACTCCAAGAACTAAGATACAATCTATAAGTGGCCCTGCTATAGACGTTTGTTTAAAGTCTTGCTCTTCCCTGTATAAAAAGCACTTCTTTGAGTAAATTTAGATCAGCAAATTACTCTGTTATACCAACAATTCACACAACAGCATCCTACTCTCCAGACCCACACAGACTGAAAACATAAACTCAAATGTCAGCATTTGAATTACCTTCCTGTGAGTATTGAGATAAAGGCAGAAATTGACCACTAATTAAAAACGTTCCATCTCCTCAAACTGTAGTGGACATTTTTTAATATAGTAAAACTAATTTTTGAGTGACCACATAAAATTTGCTACATAATACATGAAAATATTTTACTAAAATACCGAGCACACTGAAATGGGCCTCAACATTCTTTTTGCAGCTCCCAGACTCCATGTGAGGTGAATGTTCCTCTTGAAATCTGTGATAAATTATGTCTCCTCCCTTAACACTTCCTTGATGTGGCCTCATTATCTTACTAGTTCCTCTCAGCTCTGTCATAAGATGCTGTCACTTATATATCTAGAAAACTCACATTAAGACCTCTTTTAAAACCAAAATTGACATTTGTGGCCTCAGAGGAGTTTGTGATCTGACATGGCATGAATTACATCCCCATTGTCAAACTTAGTGTACAACTTTTCTGATTAAAAGTCATGGCTTTGAGCCAGGTGCCAATGGCTCATGCCTACAATCATAACTACTTGAAAGGCTGAGATTGGGATTATTATCACAGTTCCAGGACAGTCTGGGCAAAAATTGCTTAAAAGACCTTATCTCAAAAGAAAATAGTTGAGTGGGGCTGCACGCCTTTGTCATCCCAGCTATGGTGGGAAGATTAAAATGGGAGGATGGCTGGCTCAGGCTTGCCTGGGCAAAAAGTGAGACCCTGAGCCCCAAAATAATCAGAGCAAAAATAGCTTGATGTGTGCCTCAAGTGCTAGAGCTCCTGCTTAGCAAAAGCAAAGCCTTGAGTTCAAAACACAGTATTGTAAAAAAAAAAAAAAAACAAAGTGAGAGCTTTCACTCAGATTAGCCAGTAATGAATTACCAAGTAATATTGGCTTAAACTTCTACTTCTAAAAGCTGATCCTTTTTCCCTGCACTTAATCACTATTACATGTAAACTTCAAACACATGAAAATAACTTTAATTTTATTTCCCTTGAGGATCAAGATGTGGGTTCTCTGTCAACTCACCTACCTGAAATCCAGGAGGAGATCGTAGGGAAACACAATGAACTCAGGAAATCAGTATCTCCAAGTGCCAGCAACATGCTGAAGATGGTAAGAGGCAGCACAGCGAGCAAAGGGGTCTTCAGCCAGCTCTCACCGGAGCAGGCACTCTCACTGGCACTTCTGGCTTGTGAACTTTAGCCTCTGTTTTGATATTTCAGTGGAGATGTATTATGGTCCAGGATTATATATGTTGTCCAGTTTAACAGTGATGAAATAACAGCAAACCCTTGGGCATCCAGTGAGAGGCCACCTTTTTTTATTCTGCCCAGTGCCTTCTTTCTCCTAATCTAGGATCATGAGACTCTCTTTAGAGTCAAGGCCATTTGGTGTAAACAGCCACTTAGGGCAGTACCAGTTAGTAGGAAGTAACTTTTCAACCCCATCCCCCTGATCCATAGGCCACACGTCTCCCAAAATTATTCAGTGAGAGAAAATAAATGGATAGGGAATTAAGAAAGCAGTCCTTACTCTTGGAAAAATAATCTCGATCCTTCCATATATTTAATAATATTTAGAGGAGGACAATTACTACAGATGTGTAGGTATGCCTCCTACAATGTCAAAAATAATTAGACCAGTAAATATTTAGAATATTCAGTGACCTAGAGAATACAAGCTATTTATATTTCTTTGGCACAAGAAGAACATATTACCCTATATTTTTATTTGGTTCTGATGAGAAGTCAGATGGTGCTGATACAGAAATTCTATAGCAATATAAGTCAACCTATCAATGTGACTCTAAAGATTGTGCATCTCTGAGGCTCCAGTCACTGAGGGGCTATCTTCTTTTCTTTCCTTCTTTTAGAGATGGAGTAGTGCAGCCTCCAAGAATGCACAAAAGTGGGCAGAAAACTGCAATTATGCACACAGTATGTCATCATTCAGAAGGACAAGTATGTAAATTAATAAGCATTAGTAGTCATAAAGGCCTGTTTTGTTAAGTGAAGGAAAACGTTGTAAATCCAAATTTTGCTCATTGCTGTGTCTTTCAAGTCAAGTGTCTCTGTGAGCAGAAATAACTCTGAGGAGCACCCCTTCCTTGTCCTTTCTGAGTGTTTTGTATTTTATAAAGCCATCTCACACAATCTCACCCTGCACTTCTCAACCAGTGGTGAGTGAAGCAGGCCATGGGTCGTCTCATTCTCTAAAGATAAAAACAACCACCATCTGTCTAATTAGCAATCAGGTGCATATATAGGAAATTCAGAATTAGAATCCATATCTTCTAATCCAGTACTCTTTTTGTGATATTTTGCAGTCCACTAGTGTTTTAGAAGCTATTTTTAACTTATAAAATATATCAAATTTGGTCAAATTGTTCCTGAATTTTCACAAAAATATTGTATATTGTCATTCATCTTATTATTGCCTTTATAATAAATTTTAATGAGGTCTCACTGTGTAGATAAGGCTGGCCTCATACTTGTTGTGTAGCCTAGCCTGACTACATGGCTGGTTATCATCCTACCTCAGTCTCCAGGGTGCTGGAATTACAAGTGTGTGCCACTGACTCTTTCTTAATTTTATAGCAGCACGTTTTATACCTTCTGGGTGCCTACATTAAATATTTTATATTAGACTAAAAATACTTATATGAGACATGACCTTTTCATCAAAGAACATAAAGAAACAATGCATAAAATATATGTGAGAAAAATATGTATTGAATTATCAAAAATGACAGAAAGTCAGAACCAATTTAAAACTAGTAAATGGCTCACTTATTTTGAAGATAGGACATCCTGGTAGTTTATGTTATTATAATTTGATTATAATGAAATTATACAGGCTAATTGCTTCCATCCGAATGGCTCATTTTTCATAGATATGAGCTGTGGAGAGAATCTGTACATGTCAAGCCACCTCCCCACATGGTCAAATGCAATCCAAAGCTGGTATGATGAGGTCCATGATTTTACCTTTGGTGAGGGGCCAAAGGAACCTTTTGCAATAGTTGGACATTACACCCAGGTAAGAAGAAGAAACAGCTTTCTACACTAAGTGTGCGCAAAGGAATGCTTCCCCAAATTTTGGCTCATTCTAAGATTAAATTTGGGGGAAAATCATTTTTATTTTCTTTTAGAGAAAGAGTCTTGCTATAGACCTATAGCCCAGGCTCACCTCAGAATCCTAATCCTTCTGTCATAGCCTTCCTAGTGCAGGGATTACAGAAATGTACTAGTCTCATCCTGGGGATGGGGGAGATCTTGAGTGAATATTGAATAGACTTGGCATTTGTTGGGCATTTGGGTTGTCATTTTTCAATAGCCTTCAGGATCCTAGTAAGGAAACATACTCTGCATTTTTCTTCCATTTTTTTATTAGCGTATTATAGTTGTACATGGGTACATGTGACACATACATAAGTGCTTACAGTATCTCTTAGATTCACTCCCTACACGTTTCTCCTTATCTACACTCCTCCCCATCTTAGAACAATTTCAACAGGTTTCATTGTTCTCTTTTCACATGTCAATATAAAATACTTTCACCTATTCATTGTCCTTCACCCTTTCCTTACACACTCCTCTCTCCCACTGGTACCCACCCCTGGACAGGACCTGCTTTACCTTCTTGTCCTTCATATATTAAAAAAGAACATCTTTGTTAGTTTATGATTACTATTCAGAGGGTTTTCTTGTCCTTCATATATTAAAAAAGAACATCTTTGTTAGTTTATGATTACTATTCAGAGGGTTTTCTTGTCCTTCATATATTAAAAAAGAACATCTTTGTTAGTTTATGATTACTATTCAGAGGGTTTTGTTATGATATTCTAAGTAGATAAAGAAGTATAGATGGAAATGCAATACTTTAAAAAATTTTAGCTTGTTTCAAAAATTTATATATATCCATAAAACATTAGGAAACAAAATCCCTCAATAGTATCCTTTTTTAGTTGTGCATTTCCTGCTCTTTGTTTCTTGATATTACCTACTTTTCTAACATACTCATGTCTTCACTTACGGATGTGCAGATTGTTTGGTATTCATCTTTCCTTATTGGATGTGGAGTGGCCTACTGTCCTGAGAATTCTCTGAAATACTTCATGGTTTGCCACTATTGTCCTGCGTAAGTATACATTGTAGAGTTTACTGTCGATAGTGCCACATACAATTAACATTTTTAATTTAAAAATTAAAAATATACACTTTAATATTTGGGGAAAGGAGAGGGGGATTACATATTTAGAAATCTCTTCTGTAGTTGAACCAGATCCTCAGAAAGAGCACTTTCTCAGTTCCACATATAATTTTCTGAAGCTCTTCTTTTAAGCCTAGAATGATTTGCTTTCCTTCTCAATAGCTGTTCCCTAGACATGTAGTGTGCCATCTTTTATATTTCTAGGGTCAGTTCTTGATAAGTTCACATCCTAGAAAGTGAAGATTTGATGTTAGATATAGGGTGAAAGTGAGGTAGCAAATGGGGAATGATGCGGTTTGGTGAATCTAGCTGCTTCTTCTCAAATGTCCTGCTCATTCTTATATATAACTGCTACCTGATCCCTTTAAGAAATGATCAAATCTTGGACTTCAAAGGCTTTTAAAGAGATCCCTAATATATTTCAAGTAGTCCAGAAAAGGTAACATTTTCAGTCTTTGCTTTTCAGAATTTACTGCAAAAATCTCTGAGGCATTGTCCACTAAGATCTTGGATTATAACCAGAACCACATCCTTCCTCAAGCAATGTTGTTGAAATCTCAAAAAAAAAAACAAACTGTGGGCAGAATAAACATATATTCACAATCTTAGTTTTATTTTTTTAAATGAATGTAAATTTTACCACAGGAGGCAGAGATTTTAGTTGCCCTATTTCAGTGTTCAGGTTCCAAGATTATGGTGGAGGTATCAAGTAAATGGTGATTTAGCCTCTTACTCCACATTGATATCTGAATACACTTAGGACATACTCATTTGCTTATTTAACAAAATTAAAATATTTAATAGATATCTATAAATATATTTGGTGATGCTAACCTTAGTGTATAAATTAAACTTATTTTTAATAAAATTGATATCTTGCTTTTCGTATTTCAGTGGTAATTATTTGAACAGATATTATGTCCCTTATGATGAAGGAGAACCTTGTGCTCGTTGTCCTGATCACTGCGATGATGGATTATGCAGTAAGTTTGAAGTGTTTAAGTTTACTAAAGCAAAACTACTAATGTCACTAGCTTTTATGATGAAGGACATATTGTAAATGAACTCAACGTAAAGGATACCTTCATGCAAAAGCCAAAAAAATCACTTAAAGTTCAATTTTGACATTGCTCAGTCTTGGTACACTGCTTTCAGTGAAAAGCCTGTATCACATCCAATCCAAAGAAACATCTGCAATCCAAGTTTACGTGTGACACCACTGAGCACACTGCACGTTGGAATCTATGAAAATGTATCTCTAGTAACTAACTGTCACTAGAGGTCAACTTTCTTATCATTGAGGTAAGTGTGATTATATCAAAGTTTGCATTTTTTTAAAACAGAAACAAGGGCTGGGCATGTGGCTTAAGTGGTGGAGCCCCTGATTGGCACGTGTGAGGCCCACAGTTCAAATCCCAGAGTGCTCAAAAACAAAAGAGACACAGGGAAATCTAAAGATTGAAATGATAGAGTATAGTTCAGCCCATTGACTTACACCAAATATTACAATTCTTCATACACAAATTAGTTCCTCACAGTGCCTTCCTAAGCTCCTCCATAGAGCAGTTAGAATTACCAAATTTAATAGTCTCTCTTAGTTTTTCTGCAAGTAATTTTATGTATATTTTGAATGCCAAAATCAATTCTGTATATAGTTCAGAGAAACTCAAAAAATTCTAGCACAGAGAGAGAAAAGGAGCATTGCACACTGTCTCAGTCCCACTCTTATTGTGATTAGAAGTGCAAAGGGTAAGAATTGGCTGCCTGTCGTGGTGCACACTTGTGATCTCAGCACTTACAAGCCAGAGGCACGAGGTCAGCCTGGGCGACAGTGTGAGACCGTGCCTCAGACAAACAAACAAGCAAAACTACGTAGTTTTGTTGAAATGGGATATGGTGTTGAAATGATTACAAACAATACCATTGACTAACTCTCACATTTTTCTCTTTCAAATGTGCATTCATTCAGCTGACTGAATTGTAACATTCTTTCTGACTAAATTGTGTTGTCAGAATTCAAAGCTATAAACTAAAGTAGAAAAAGCCATGTACTCATAACCGCTGAAAGTATTTGCTAAGTTTGGAAATCTGTCCTATTAGTAAACAGTAGTCGATTGAAAGATTTTAAACAGAACAGGAAAAATCCTAATTTCATCTTATAAATATCTCCTGGAAGACTGGGATTATATTTTAATTACTGAGCACCTATCCTGGGTTTGAGACACAGCACTGCAAGAAAACAACTGAGCTTGTAGAAGTAGCATGAAAACAATTTTAAGGAAAGCCTCTAGGAGAAATGGATTAAAAAACAAGTGGATGTCTTTACTGTATTAGTGCAAAAGTCATGAAAACAAATAGGTATGAGAGAGAAGAAAATAGATTATACTTTTTGTTTCCTGAGTTTGCTGAGTAGTGATAAAAAACAAACTGGAGAGGGCCGAATGCTGTGGTATATGTACCTGTTGTCCTAGCTTCTTGAGGATGAAGCATGAGTTCAAGACCAGCCTGGACACCATCCACAAAACTTCAAACAAAATTTAGAGACAAACGTGTTCCATTGATTTCTGCATGTTGTTTTTCATTATTCAGTAATTGGGAGTGCTTTTTTTCTAGGAGTGGGTGAACTGAATAGAGGATGATGGGGATTGTCTGTCAAGGACGATGGGGATTGTCTGTCAAGGAAATGTCAAGTTTGTAGTTAGGATAATTGTAGTTAGGATAATGTCAGGATGAGAATTTTTGACTTTGTGGTCACTAAGGAATATACAAGTAAAAAATGTCCACAAATCATAGTGACTTTCTCTACCTTTTTCAGTTCTACAGGCTTTGTCTTCCTGTGAGAAAAACAAGTGGCAATAAAGTCTAGAAAAACCATGTGCAATATAATTTTCTGTAATGACAGAAATGCTCAGGGTTTTCACTGTCTTATTAAGTAGCCCCTAGATTCATTGGCTGAGGATCACATAGGTGTAACTGTTGGTGGTGAGCATTTAAATTTTAATATGATAGCCTGATGGTGTGGCTCAGATGGTAGAGCACCTTTTTAGTAAGTGCTAAGGTCCTGTATTCAAACCACAGTACTACCAAAAAAACAAAAAGCAAAAAAAAAAAGAAGAAAGAAAGAAAAAAGCAAACAATAAAATTTTAATTTTAACTAAGTTAAATCTTAACAAGCATATGACTAGTGGCTACCATTTTAGAGATGCAGTTCTAAAAGTTACCAAGTCATGAAATAGTCATAATGTAGCAACCTGTTTGCTCAATTCTCTTTTCCCCATTCAAGTTAAATTTATTTTTTGTGTCCCTGCTATGGAGGAAAGTGGTAATGAACTGACTAATTTATTTCTTTTATTTCAGCCAATAGTTGTGGTTACGAAGATCAATATTCTAACTGTCCTGTGTTGGCAAAAACAGCGACTTGTAATCATCTTGTCGTCAAAGCCAAATGCCAGGCCACCTGCAAATGTCAAGGCAAAATTTATTAAATACCTAATGTGCATGAGCAGGGTTCTGTGGAGTAGGGCCCCATCATCTTCTAGACTTCACATACACTATCGGGCAAATCATGGGCATGTTATCTACAAATGTGATTCAAAACTATAAAGAATCTTATTCTTCTGAATCTGCTTCTCATTTTACAGAAATCATTATCGTATAGAGAATTGAAAAGTAACAATATCAATGATAATTTCTTTGAATTTTAATATGGGAATTTTGATTTAAATTTCACAAATTTAATCAAATAGAGTGGTCTATAGGTTGTATTTTTCTATGATGAATGTCACCAATACCCTAGATTGAAATTGAGATTTATGTACCCAGAACAAAATGTTCTAAAAGAATATCACTGTCACATCAATCCTGGGCTGCTTTTCTAGCTACACGTAGTTAAATATCTCCAAAGTGCATGTACTCTCTTTAGTTCTTCTTCACCCATTCAGGTTTCTTCCCACTCATCTGGATCTCATCCCTATAATGAAGTTGAGAACATTGTTCTAAAAATAATTCTTTCTCATGCAAATATCAATGAAGAATCTCAATTTTTCATCAGTGTAAATTTTATAATAGAATATGACACCTTACTTTAAAATCTTTATGAAGCACATATATCTTTAAAAATCATTCAGCATAATATATATATGCACTCTCTCCTCAAGAGGTTAGGATTCAGTTCCCTCCCTTTGTGTCTCCATGGAAGTTAGGAACTCACTTTCTTAAGCTACATGTGAAATGGGAATAATAGTCAGTACATTGAGAAATTGTCAAATTCCATCATAACAAAGTGATCCAGACTGCAATCTCTTTTGAGGACATTTTATCTTTCTCTTTTGAAAAATCCTTACAGCATAATTTCCTGTTTCTCTGTGACTGTGTTGACGGTTTTGTCTCTTTAGGGAAAATGAACCCTGATATTAGCAGCACATCAATCTTTTCTTAGGATTTGTTTGAACTGGTGATAAGTTGCTTTTAATGATGTAATATTATAATACTTATAATGTCTGATTAACTAAATTGTAATAACATTAAAACTCCTGACCCTCAGACATGAATGTGTCCTATTTATTGTATAATCAAATGATAATCAAGAACTAAGGTCTGGGGAATTAGGCATGCAAAAGTCCTCAAGAATTACTAACATTTCTGAGTGGGCAACTTAGTGATTTAATTTTGGCCATTGTCACATGTGTTCTTTGTACCTCCTAAATAAAAGATTATTAAGCAAATGAAGAACATAGAAAATTTTACTCAAAATTTGTGCACTAGAACTATGTTATACAGAAGTATAGATGAATGGATGGGGAGAGAAACAGAGTAAAATACAAAAACAAGGTATACTATAAAGGTACATAAATGGCTTACTCACTGTCACATATTTTTGTATGAATTATATTTTAACAATCTAATTCTGGACTCTCTAAAATGTTACAAAGCTTTGTACTGACTCTCTCTTATAATGTAAGAACCGTTTCTGGCTAGTACCAACAAGGACGTTTATCAATTCATGAATAACTAAACCATACTCTGGATTTATTTTTAATTCATAAAAATGATTATTGGCCCTCATAACTGTAGAATATTGCTCATTTCAGCACTATGACACTGCCTAAGTAAATATAATGGAATGTATACTCTGCCTTCCCTGTCAACAGATAGGGGAAAAAATGTTAAACTGTAATTTTGCAAAGTCTTCCTAAAATAAAGTGTAATGGGATATGCCCATAATGCATCAGTTTTCAAGGGATATTTAAATCATAATGATTAGCACACATCAATTACACAAATTAATTGTATTTACTTTGACACATCCACATGTGCATATATCCTGCAATCATGTCACCTACCCTTCTTCTTCCACCACCATCACTTTCTCCTCTATTTCCTCCACCTACCACTAGCCCAACACATACTAGGTCCTAAGCTCAATCTCTAGCACCACACATAAACACAAGAAAGTAATAATTATAGTAACAGAAAAAAAAGGAGAAAACACACACACACACACACACACACAAACCCAGAAAAAATAACAACAGAAAAGTAGAGAGTATAAAATAATAATAGAAAGAGCTAAAAGAAACAAAATCCCTTTCGGTTGAGGTGCTTGAAGGAATTGAGAGTTTTTGACGAGTGAAGTATCTTTCTGGATATTTACAGGTTTGTGCATCAGGCACAGGGCATTGGTTAGCTCCTCCCTCCCCATTCTTTTAGCATGGCACCTACCAATTATTGCGTGATCTTGAGTCACACCTGAAGATTGTTGGACTCTCAGCTGAGGTGCTTAGGGGGAACAAGCTAGAGCTGAGTGTAGGCTGCACTAGGTATCATTTCTCTCCAAAGTGCTCAAAGGAATTTTTTAACATCTCTGAAGTTTAATAATTTGCAATGAAGTCTTCATACCACAGAATTCAGCCAGTCACTACCACTAGCCAGACTAGCAGTCATGAAACAACCTGTTAAGAAGTTAGAGCCCGTTTTCATAAGCAAAATCTAGAAAACCTGCCCAAGAACAGCAGGAACACGTACAGACATCTGTGCTGTAACACTGGTAGAAATTGAATAACAACATTTCAATGACCTATATTTCACTTTACAAAACAAGATTCTCAGCGCTATATCCTGTTACATTGTGAGAGGGAGAAGTGGGCTGCAGTGACAAAAATCCCTTGTGATTTGCCTTAGTCCAGGGCACACTACAAGTCTTCCTTACATAAACATGTCACAGCACAACAATATATTTACATTTTTGGTCTTTTATATTTATATTTGTAACTCTTGGCCAATAATATGTTGACCCCTCAGAACCTAGTTATCACTATAATGTTTGGCTTTTAATTGGTTATTTTATTGATCCATACAACCATTTGTGTTACAAACTATCTCTATTATGCAAGGGCACATCAGAAAGTCCACATTGCCCTGTAATTTTTCAAATAGAAATTATACATACTAAAAATCCAAGTTACAAAATTAGAAGAAAAGTCAAAAATAAATCTTGCACTGATTGAAGTGGTTCTAACGGACAAAGTTAAGTTTCTTTGTAGAGAGAAGTTTAGAAGGTATTGTTTAGAGATAGGAGGAGAGATATAGTGCATGAAGTTGAGGGGGTAGAAGTGGAATAGAAGCTTCTCCTACACACACTGGCTGAATGGACTTTTGTACCATAAAAATAACTAGGATATATTATCCTTGCTTCTAAAAATGTAAACTCTTTGCTCTACACTGCTGATATCTATCACAACATAAACATGAACTATTCAAATGCAGAAGTGTTCTTTACCAATTTTCTAGGTGTATCAACTCAGTCCAGTTGACAACTAAGACTGATAGTCACAGGATCTTAAATTGTAAACAACTTAAGATATATACTCCAGACATCACTCTATTATCATAGTGTGTGAATGATCGATTGTTTTCTTGATGGTAGCTCTTGAATAAAAATATTTTTATTTTCAATAAAGTCAATTTGCTTATTTTTATTTTATGAATATTACTTTCTGTGGCCTACTTAAAAACATAGTTTTCTGCTTTGAAATCACAGGGATATTCCACATTTTTATTTAAATGCTTTGTTCCTTTCTGTCTTCAACATAAATCTACAATAGATCTTAATATTCCTTAATGAAATTCAAGAATTTTTTTTCACATGTAAATATCCAGCTATCCTAGCATCATCTGTTGAAAATAATTATCTTTCCCTACTGAGTTATTTGGCACTGTTGTAGAACATCAGGTGGTCATACAAGTGGGTCTCTCCATGGTTATTTAGTCCAACCCAGTGGTCTTCATGTTGGTCCTCACATACTATCATACTGTTTAGACTACTGTAGTTTAAAATACTTAATCAGTAGTGTAAGACCGCCAATGTTTTTTATTTTTGTAAGGATTACTGACTATTCTAGGACCTTATTTTTCCATATAATTTTTAGAATTAGCTTATCAGTTTTTATATAAAGAACATTTATGGTGGTACATTTGATCTTGTCTTGAATCTATAGGTCATTATGAATTGGTAGAGCAATTTGGAAAGATCTGGTACCATGACAACATTGAATCCTCCAGTCAATGGGCATGATAAATATCTCTAGTCATATAGATACTCATTATATTTTTTCAGCTTATTGTTTCAAAGGTCTTGTACATCTTTAAGTAAATTTACTAATAAATATCTAATGATTTGTAATGCTATTACAAATTAAATTAATTTTTAATTTTTTATTTTAGAATATTTTTAGAATCTTATATAGAGTATAGTTTCCATATATTCTTCCAATATCACCTGATATCAATATCGTACATAGCCCCATAATGTGATTCAAAACTAATAACATAACATTGGAGCATTTCTATTAAAGTCTGAATTTTATTTTTGATTTCATCAGTTTTCCTACTAATGTCCATTTTGCAGTTTTAGAATTCTAATCCACAATGCAATATTTCATTTAGTCATTTCTAAGTCTCTTCTTGGCTATGGAAGTTTCCCAGTAGTTTCTGGATTTTCAAAGTCTTGACAGTTTTAAAGACTGATCATGTGTTTTGGAGAAAGTCACCAGGTTTGGATTGTCTGATGCTTTGTTATGAGTAGGTTGGGGTTCTTGATAAAGGAAGAACATCACAGAGGCAAGGTGCATTGCTCATTTCATTCAAAATATTCACATGACTTACCACTGGTGATGTTGACTTGATCATTTAGTTATGGTGATGTTCAGTTACTCTTGCTCCTCTTTCCATACCAAAGTCACAAAAGTCCAGTTCATACTCAAGCAGTGGATTAATTAAGATACACCTGCAAAGAGGGAGAGTACTTACACATAATTTTGAGTTGAGCATCCTTTAGTTAGCAATATGAATTTAAGATTCACAGATAGCACTGGGGCATTGCTCAAGAGCAGAGAACTTGCTTATCAAGAGACAGGCCCTGAGTTCAATCCCCAGTACTGCAATTTTTTTAAAAGATAAGAAAAGTTCACCAATGTTGTTGTATACATAAACAATTTAATCTTCCTTATTTTACAATATCCCATTATACAGATTTATTACATTTTATACATCCACCAGTTGAAATATATCAAACTTCTGTAATTATTGGTAAATTTATTCCAAACATATGTATACAGAGCTTTGAAGAAATATAGGTTTTTGAGGTATTTGGATGAGTACCTAGGAATACTACTGATGACTCAGATTTTAGATCTACAGTTATGTTTTTAAGCAATTACCAAGTTTATCCAAAAGCATCTTGTCACATTTCACTATGAATGTCAATGAATGAGAGTTTCCAATTTTATGAATCTTTGACAAAGATTTTTATAATGAGACTTGTGAGTTTTAGTTAGTTTGTAACAAGAGTGGAGTGATATCACTACAGAACATATTTAGGAGTAGAATTGCCAGGTTGTATGATAATATACGGTTGACATTTTGAAGAAATGCTGAACTGATTTGTAAAGTGGCTGCATTGGTTTATATTCCTACTAGCAATATATAACAATTTCAATTTATCCAAAAGATTGTTGACACTTGTGTTTTACTTTCTTTTTATGTTTTGGCACTACTGGAGTTTACACTCAGGGCTTCACACTTCCTTGGCAGGTGTTCTACCTCTTGAGTCACACCACCAGCCTTTGACATTATTTTTTCAGTTGTAGCAAGGATTTGTTTTAGTATAACAGGATAAAGTATAGACAAGGTTGGGGACAGGAGAAAAAGAAACAGAAACATTTCCTGTGCCCATGCAAGAAATGAGAGCAAAGACTCATTTTTTATTATATACACAGATATATATATATATATATATATATACAAATATATTTCTGTCCAAATCTTCACTCTAAATATTTAATTAATTCAACTCATGAAAAAATTGAACGAAAAAATTCACTCACTTTAAAACAAATTTGCCATGTATATTTGCTCCAAAAAGAACTGACATTTTCATTTCCAATAGAAATTTTCATCCTGAGGAAAACCATACCTCATTTTAGCTCAGTTTCTATGGTGTACGGTAGTGAAGTAAATAGAGGGAGAGAAAGGTAGAAAGTGTCATGGTAACAACTGTGACTTGAAGGAATGTCACTATCGCCTCTGGTGCTATTTACTCACATTCATTTTGCTACAATTCTTCCTGTTTCCTCAACAGAAGCCACAGAACATTCTCTCATGATAGTCTGAGAATGGACCAAATATGGTAATGAAAAGACATCATTCTCATCCCATCCCAGAATATATCTAAAGTCAAACTCTAACACCAAGCTCTGCCCTCAGTACCGATATTTATCAAGATAAGGAAAAAAAGAACCCCACTATGTGTCTTTTAATAAACAATACTTCATAGATGCTTTATATTTCACATTTCCCTTTATTTGGTACTACAGAGCAATTTACACAACAATGTAATTAGGATTTGACATAGAGGAGGGGCATGCAGTTTATGGAGGTTGACTTGTTTGGCTGGTTTTGTGTTTAAGAATAACAGCAAATGTCAAACATGAGGAGGAAAGAACTAGCAGAAGACTGATGTATTCAGATCATTCTTTGTGCTATCCTCACTTCCCTGATCTCTGACTTTAAGCTTTCCACTGCTTGGCCTTCTGAGGGGGCAGTTTCAACCTGTACCAGCAAGACACTGCAAATCCAGATTGACAGGTACATGGACCAATCACAGAGCTAGAATTCCTTTTCCAGCCTAATAATGGTTGCCACGTGAGAGACTTAGGAGAAGGAAAGGGCGGAGCAAGAGCAAGAACGTTAGAAATCACCATCGACTCATCCTCCCTGCAGCAGAAAAGTGCTGCCTCTATACTGGGATCCAGGCAGGAGTCAATTTATCCTTTGTACTAAAGATGTCTCTGTCTAAGAAGTTGACTTTGGATAAATTGGATGTTAAGGGAAAGCGAGTCATCATGAGAGTAGACTTCAACGTCCCCATGAAGAATAACCAGATTACCAACAACCAGAGAATCAAGGCTGCCATCCCAAGCATCAAGTACTGCCTGGATCATGGAGCCAGGTCAGTAGTTCTTATGAGTCACCTGGGCCGACCTGACGGGGTTCCCATGCCTGACAAATATTCCTTAGAGCCTGTTGCTGCCGAGCTCAAATCCTTGCTGGGCAAGGACGTTCTGTTTCTGAAGGACTGTGTAGGCTCAGAGGTGGAGAAAGCCTGTGCCAACCCGGCAGCTGGTTCGGTCATCCTGCTGGAGAACCTGCGCTTTCATGTAGAGGAAGAAGGAAAGGGCCAAAGTCCTTCTGGGGAAAAGATTAAAGCTGAACCTGATAAAATAGAGGCCTTCAGAGCATCGCTCTCCAAGCTAGGGGACGTCTATGTCAACGATGCTTTTGGCACTGCACACCGAGCTCACAGTTCCATGGTGGGAGTGAATCTGCCCCAGAAGGCATCTGGATTCCTCATGAAGAAGGAGCTGGATTACTTTGCCAAAGCTTTGGAAAAGCCAGAGAGACCCTTTCTGGCTATACTTGGTGGAGCCAAAGTGGCAGACAAGATCCAACTCATCAAAAATTTGCTGGACAAGGTCAATCACATGATTATTGGTGGTGCAATGGCTTACACTTTCCTTAAGGTGCTGAAGAACATGGAGATTGGTGCTTCCCTGTTTGATGAAGAGGGAGCCAAGATCGTCCAAGAGATCATGGCCAAGGCAGAGAAGAATGGTGTAAAGATCACCTTTCCTGTTGACTTTGTCACTGCTGACAAGTTTGAAGAGAATGCTAAAGTTGGACAAGCCACTGTAGAATCTGGCGTCCCTGCTGGCTGGATGGCATTGGACTGTGGTCCAGAGAGCATTAAAAACCACGCTCAAGTGGTGTCCCAGGCAAAGCTAATTGTGTGGAATGGACCTTTAGGGGTGTTTGAATTGGATGCCTTTGCAAAGGGAACCAAAGCCCTCATGGATGAAATTGTGAAAGCCACTTCCCAGGGCTGTGTCACCATTATAGGGGGTGGGGACACTGCTACCTGCTGTGCCAAGTGGAACACTGAAGATAAAGTGAGTCATGTGAGCACCGGAGGGGGTGCCAGCCTCGAGCTTCTGGAAGGGAAAATCCTTCCTGGAGTAGAAGCCCTCAGCAACCTGTAGTTGCCAGAAGGTTCCTTCCTGTTGTTTCCTGTCCTCAGTCCTTAGCCCAACTTGGTGACTTACTTTTCAACTTAACTTGAGTTAAAATCTCCCCAACATCAAAACCCAGGTACTGAGCAAGCAGTGAACCATGAGGAACTCTTAACATCAGCATAGCTATTCAACTTGTGCTGTCATGCATTTTCTTAGTACCTTTGAGATCTCATTTGAACTTGACCATTGTGCTTCCTAGGGAGGATGCATTCTGAATTTGCCTATTAAAGAAATGAGCTGAATAAGTGGACTTGCTCATTTTTATTTTAGTACAGCATTGTTTCTCCTTCTAAAACTTGCAAACAGGACAAAACCCAACTAATTGATGAAGGGTAGGTTAACAAAGTGTATAAACAAAAGTACACAAATAGAAAAATAATTATATATAAAAACTCAGAAGCTCTACTGAGATAAAATTTCTTACAAGAGAAGAAAAAAATGTAACTACTTACTAAACTCAAGAAGTTGAAAAACTACACATATAAATTCACCCAAAGAATGATTTATGTTTGTCTATACATAGATGTGTATCTCCATTAGATAAGAAACTAAAAATTAAGATCAAGTTAAAAGTAAATAATTTTTTTAAATCATATGTTATTTAATAATTGACCATGATCTAATAAATCCCAATACTGGGTTTCTGATATGAATAAAAATAAGTATATGAGTAGTTTAGTGTTGAAAAAATAGAGCTATGACAACTTTTACTTTAAAAAATGGAAAAGTAACATAAAAACAGAAGAAACAAAAATGCTCATTGGAAAATATTTTTCCTAGTTCTGTAGTCAAAGAGTTGATTCAGGGCAATACTGTCAATGAGTTAAGTGTAAGAATGAAGGGTACCTTTTCCCTTGTGCAATTTCCTATATCCCATAAATTCAGATCAACTTTATGCATTCCATACCCAGAACATTTGAGCTTCCAATACAAATCTCAAAACAACTAAAACTTCAACATACTTTTAAGGGGAATAATAATAACAGCATGATATTCCCAAGGAAGAGGGAGGAGTGAAGGTGTAATTAGTGTTTCCTTCAGGAATCTGCCATCACTCTTGAGATTACCATTCCAATCCCTCCTTTCCCTACTCTAGTTACTCAACAGCCAAAAATATTTCATTAAGAGGTTGTCCAGCCAACAAGTACCCTCTTATTTCAACGAGGTATACAATAAGGGCATTCATAGTAGAGTATATTTATAATTCAAGATGAATATTCTAAGGGAGTATCATTTGAGCTCTCCCAGTCTTAGGAGTTTATTCTATATGTAAAAGGCAACAAAAACGGATGGACTCAATTGTTGACATTTTTTCGTAATGTTTCCATATGTGTTCAGTGATCTAGCAAGTGTTTGTCAACTACTGAAAGGTTTATAATAAGATGTGGCTTTTTTAATAAGAGTAAAAATTCATAAAATGTTTTTCATTTTTAATTGGAACTCTAGGCCTCCAGAATTGCAATATAGTTAGTTGCAAGTGAATATTAAGGTTAGAAGAAAACTGTCCTGTGCGATCACTAACCAGCAATGAAACCATCAGGAGGTTACTTAATACCTCTGTCCCTCTGTTCTTTCTCATCAATATCATAAAGCCTGAACCAAGAGTTTTGCTAGATTACAAAATGTAACTGAAATAACAGGTTTAGAAAAATCTGAAGCACTTTTAATAGTTAATAATCTTTTTTTTCTTTTTGGAGACAGTATCTCACTTTATAACCCAGGTTGGCCTCAAACTAATCATTCCCTTGCCTCAGCCTCCAGAATTCTGACATTATAGGCAATGTGTGGTACCATGCCTGATTCATTAATCTCTTTAACAAAGGTTTTCTCCTCTGTGGATTACTGTAATTATAATATTGATTTGTCATGAAAATGGCAGAGCAGAAAAGAATGTCTTAGCACAGTAAGGTAAGCCACTTCTCTTCCACTTGTTTAATCTTTCACTTTTACCCTGGATTTCTGTCTGATCATTAGTTTTGTAGGAGGGGATGAGGTCCTGTTTCTACCACTTTCCTCCAGGAGACTCATGGTGTATGCATTTCCAGCACTTCCTATACTTAAAGTCATCGATACCACTATCCAATAAAATGTGAAAATATCCAAACAGTTTAAGATTATCTATCTCATGGAGTTGTCATGTACCTAACAGAAAGACAAATCTGTTTTGAGATATTGTAAGAGAGAGGTACTTAAACTGCTTATGTTGAAAAACACTGACTCCTTACTTGGGCCCATGAATTAAATAAAATCAGGATAAGCTTGGCATCTCTGCCATTGTCCCTTGCTCTGGACCATTCTGTCCTGCAGCCACCTTGGCAACAAGAATAATCAATAATTTATTTATGACTGGGGACTAAAACTACCCCTAACAAACAGTGGAGCTTTGCAGAACCACCACCCACCTCAAATGAAGACAATCACTTATAATGGTGAGGCTGTACACTGGAGCAGTAGTAATACCTCATGGGAACCAGGTCACTCCTCCCAGATGATAACAGCAACAACTTCTTTGGAACAATTGATGAGACCACCAGCCTGATCAAGACTACCTGCTCTGCCAGCTGTACATACTTAAAATCCCTCTCTTGACTTCCTTTTCTATAAAACCTCAAAATTCCCATATGCCCCTTGAATACAGTCTTTTTTGTTTTTCCAATATGGCCACATTTGATTAAATCTCCTTTCTCTGCCATTCACCAGTGTTCTCTCACAGGGATGGTGACTTAACCTAGTCCATTTGGGACATCCAAAGCCAGGGCTTTTTTCCTTAAATTCCAGGTTCACTTATATGGAATTATTCATTTATTCATATACATGCAGCTCTCTCTCACAGTACTATTAACTCATAGAGGAAAGAGTGCTGTGGGGGTTTTTTGTTTTTGTTTGTTTGTTTGGCAGTACCGGGGTTTGAACTCAGAATCTCATTCTTGCTTGGCACCCTTGCCACTTGAGCCACTCCAACAGTCCAAAATATTTTTTTGGAAGTACTAGGGTTTGAAATCAAGGCCTTACATTTGCTAGGCAGGTGTGCTTACCACTGGAGCTACTCTCCCAGCCCAAGGGCTTCACTTGCTAAGCAGTCACTCTACCACTTGAGCCATATCTACAGCCCTAGTTCAGGTCAATATTGATTCATTTCACATGTATCTACAGACTACCACTTATGTAATAGGTATTGCCATAATCTTTGGAGATAGAGCAATAATCAAGATATAACTAAACTCTTGACCACACAGCAAGTAACATCATCTATCACTACAATACTCAAGTTGCTTTCATTCTGAAATCATCAATTTAAATATGGGAACAAGTAATAATTATGGATACAATGCCTCTAAAAATTGAAAAAAAATAAGATCTCCACAGTAAGTGATGATAAACTATTATAAGGTCGATAATGAATTGCACTAGAAAAATAATAAATGTACTAAGTAATTCTGTTTACATGAGAGATTTTGTGGGTATAGTATTTGAAGTGTTAAATTACTAATTGAGGCATGATACAGTAAAAACATGAATGTGGCCATGAAAGAGACATCAAGGGATAGAATTCAGAAATATTTAGAAAGGCAAGCTGTCAGAAATGAACATTGGATATAAAGCAGTTTAGGGTAACTTCTAAATTCTAAGACTTTTTTGGCTCAGGTTGTGGAAACTGAAGCATAAAAAAGAGCTAACAGAAAATCCGTGCATTGGCTACTTCAAATTATTACACCGTCAAAGAAAAAAAGAACTCAAGTAAGAGGTTATGAACAAGCCTACAAAATTCCAGCGCCGTATAATCCTGCATTATTGACACCATACTGATATTGCACTGCACGCTGAAGAATTATAAACTTTTACAATTTGTTTTCTTAAAATTCTGAACCTCAGTAACTCACGCCTTCGGACCCCTGATAAATATCTCCCTTTTCCACCTAGTACTGCCCAGGTGTGCAAACAGACATCTCCTCATCAAATGGTGGCAATAAGAAAGGCAGAAACCCTCGGTCCACAGGGGACATCTTTAGGATTCTCCGGCGCGGTGCTGGCGCAGTGCAGGTGAGGACATAAAGCCGCGTGACGTCGCCCCACCTGGCGGCTTGGGGAGTTTGCACGTGCCGGGGGAGGGGCGAGCCTCAGCTGTCCCTGGCCCAGGCCCTGCAGCGGAAGATCTGTGCCCTGCAGCCAGGGTAAATATTACAGCAGTGTGGGAGAGTAGAAATGAGCAGGGTCCTTTTGGGGAGGTGGAGCGAAAACAGAGAGGAGAGAGATCCTTGAGATTGAGGACAGATTGATAATTCCAGTTGTTTTGCTTAGCACTTATCCAGGGAAGACTGTAAGCATGCTTCTGTGTTCAGCCTGTACAAAAGCCTCTCCCATCTTAAAAGATAAATCATCCTGTTTAGCTGACTCCTACTGAGTCATGGCAGAAACTTGAAGTCATTTCTAAACCTCTCCTCTCCTGGGGTCATATTAAGAACTTGAATGTCTGCCTGTGGCTCATGTCTTTAGTCTTAGCTACGCAGGAGGCAGGGATCAGGAAGACCGTGGTTCAAAGCCAGCCATCAGAGGGAAAAATAGAGACCCTGTCTCAAAAATACCCAACGCAGAAAAAGGACTTATGGAGTGGCTCAAGTAGCAGAGTATCTGCCTACCAAGCATGAGGCCCTGAGTTCAAACTCTAGTACCATCAAAAAGAAAAAAAAAACCTGAATTTCTTAATAATGTTATGAGTGCATAAATATAGAAGTTGAATAGGACAATGAGAATTGAGGTCCTTGTATGAATAGATAAAGCTGTGACACCAATTCCATGCAATTCATGATCACTGTGTGAGAGAGGATAGATAGTAATCCAGGGCAGATTGATGTCCTAGATAAGAGGTAAAGAATCTTCAAGGTATGCTGTGCTTTTCCAGGGAAGTCAGCCAATCACCAGTTATCTAACTTTTAAAGAAGTCCACTTTTTGGTTAGTGTCTGAAGGAAACACCAAGACATTGGCCATTGTCTGATCTCAGAGGAGATTATGGACATTAAAGAACATTAAAGGCATTAAAGAACAGCAAACAGTTGAGTCAGGTTTTAGTTTGTGACAAAGATTCGAGATACTATCTATGAGGCTATTCTTCACAGCTTTATTTCAAACGTTATATATCCTTGTTCTAGGATCATGAAAGCATACATCAGGCCCCTCCTACAGTCATCCTAGGAGAACCATGTCACCCAGATCTTAAAACACCTGCAAGAAAAGGCACAGTACTTTCCCATCAGTAAGTAGCAAGGAAAAAATTATTGCCAGCTTGTCAACTGTGTATGGATGTGAGTTCAAGGGAATGAAATGTTAATTTAGGGAATGGGTAAAATATTGGTGATTGAATATACCTTTGCCAGTGTAGTCATTGCTTTTATTAATGCAACAAAGATAGCCATGGTTTGGATGGGCACGGGCGTGGGAGGGGAGGTGGCAAAGCGGAGTACATGACTTCTTGGTCTACTGCAGTATGGAATTATGGGACATTTAGGGAAAACATGATAAGTGACTGGGCTTGTGCATCTTCAGGTTTGTGTATGTGCCTTTTGATGAGTTGATGAGGATATGCCAACCCTGATGTTGGATCATTTTCCTAAAGTTAGCCAGAACCAAGCTTTGAACATCAGAATCTCTGTTTAGATTATACTTTTCTTCCTGTGATATGGAAAGGAAAAACAGATATCATAAACATTCTGAAATTAGCAGTTCAATCAAGCAGCATCTCTTATGTAAATGTCTTATGAGATCAGCAAAATTCCAGACATATCAGAGAATAATAGTAAAATATTAATTTCCATTTTGAGTATTATATGTATTGTATTATGAGTTAATATATATTTGTATTTAACATATATTACACCTTTCAGTTTTTAAAGCAAAGGTATAATAATTCACATTTTACCTAAGAGAAAACTTAATCCAAGGAGGATTTTTCAGACCTGGTGGTTTTCAAAGGTCATACTTTTAGCAAATAAGTATGGATAGTTGGTAAGAAGTGAACGTCATAGGAAGCTGAGTCAGGAGCATTCTACCTAGAACCTGGTTATTTTCTAAGTAATTGACCAGTCTTTGGTGGTCACTATGGAAATATTATGCCAAAAAGGCTATGTCCAGGTGTTAATGTGCCTACACACTGTGTAACTGTCGGGTTGAGAAGAATGACCTTCTTTACTTACTCATAGTAGAAGTTCATGAGAGGTGGGATGCAGTGCGGTGGTTGAGTGTTTGCTTATCATGTGCAAGACCCCAGGTTTAATCGCCATCTCCCCAAAACAGGGAAGAAAAGAAAAAAGACGGAAAAGCTTATGTGGGAACCGATTAGTGTAAAACAATATTGGATAATTGACAATGAAATTTTAGACTATTGGTATAAAAAATACCATTCCAGAAGAATGCTGGCAGAGATTTGCTTTCACAATCAGAATTTACAAACCAGAAACAAGTACCACGCCTATCTCACGCCCACCTTCTCCCTCCTGCAGATAAAGCAGATATTCCATCCTTCTGTCAGAACCAGCGGTGATTATTTATTCTGAGGTGAGTACTTTATCATGTCAATCATTCCAGTATTGCTAAGGGTAAACTGACTTTAAGGTGAATGTACTGGAAGTATTATGTACTCACGTGCGAAAATGGAAGAATGAGACATGTTGAAACTGTTCCTGGAATGGTGGTGGGGGTAAAGGAGAATGATGGAAGGGGTAAATTTAACTAGGAAATATTGTAAGAACTTTTGTAAATGTCACCATGTACCCCCAGTACAACAATAATACGATATTAAAAATAAACAAAAAAGAATGAATAAATAAATAAAATGTTGATAAAATTTTATTGAGAATGATCTCAGCAAAATAGTTTTAAAGTTAAGACAGTAAATTACAGCACTATTATGCCAATAATAGTATCTATTTAGACTTAAGTGAATTTTGACATTCATTCTATAAATAGTTAATTCTTAGGCTTATGATTTTTTAAAAAACCACAATATAACTACCTTTAATAGAAAACTGAAAAATATGGCTATTTGTGTATCTGTTTCCATATAAATGGCTTTTACTACTGTTAACATATATAGTTATGTATATATGTCTGGCATTTCCTGAAGTCATAAGAAAGAATGAAATAAGGATAATCTCCATTGTGATGTAATTGTGATTTGCTTTTTCCCCAAACTAACCCTAACCCTTTCAGTGCACATTGACGTTGAAGTCACAATTGAGTGAGGAAAAATTTAGGTCATTACATAAGAACTTATCAGTGACATAGGTTAGCAATTCTAAGTCTTAATTTTTTCATCTGCAAAATAAAGTCAAATTTACTAGTCTGGAAACAAATCAAGGCACAATGTTTCATTTACAAAGATATCAGCTTATATGACAAATGAGAGGAAGATGATTTCTGCCTAAAGTGGTCTTATTGCTTCATATAAAGGACCAAAAATTTTTGACACACTGAGAGAGGACAGTATGGGCAATGAGGTGCTGAGTATCTTTTGAAAAGAATAATGAAATATTCAACAGCCTTTGTACCAAACTATGGACTGCACAAGCTTGAATAGGTTAGAGTTTTAGTTCATTAATTAAATTTGGATTTTTTTATATACAAGGAAATCTGACAATAGACACAAGTATAAGGAAAAATAACTTCTAGCCACACCAATAGAGAAATAACCATTAATAAGACATTTGATCATTTAAGTCTGTGTAATCCCAACCCTGGAATCTTGATTCAAATCTACTGAAGAATGAAAAAATTAATAGCTCTATTTTTTATAGAGAACAGCAAATCAAGAAATAGTACATATTGAGTTAATAACAGCCTAAGATGAATAATGAATGCCATTACCATAATTAGCTAGGAAGGAATCTGTTTTTTCTACCTCTCCTTTTGATGAGGAAAAAGCAAAAGAACTGTGCAGAAGAAAGAAGATAGTATTTCTCCTACCCTTATCAACATATCTCAAGGACAGCAGTCATGTTCTGGTTTTCTTTCTTACTGTCCTTGTCAGAGGTAAGGCTGGTTCCAGGTGATTGTACCACAAGCCCCCAATCACTATTCTACATTGTTAATGAATTATTTTGTTAGTTTCTTTGGGGTTTCTTAGCTCATTGCATTGGTTTCTACCTTAGTCCCACGTACTACTTACTTCCCATCTTTGCTTTCACTCAGTTTCCAGCCATGACTTCACTCCCCATGGTGATATTTGTCATTACTATGCTGTTTCCAAATGTACCTGCTCAAGGAAAGGTAAGGTTAGAATGGAAAGTCTTTCTAGAGCTATCTGATGACTTTGTGGGATGCATCTGCTAGGTCAGAATATTCTCACTGATAGCTCAGAACCTTTAATGCAGTCACAGAGATGAGAGTCCAAGGCCATGCTGTTCAGTGTGGTAGCCAGCAGTCATATGTGGTCACTGAACGCTTGAAAAGACAAGATGGACTGTAAGTATAAGGTAATCACCACACGTCAATGATTAATAACAACAGCAAAAAAATCTCATAAGTGATAATAGTATTTTGAGTGTTTACTGAAGTAATGTATTAGTTTTGTAGGATTATTAGGTGGCATCTGAGAACAACAGAAATTTATTCTCTCAGTTGAGGAAGTGTACTGTGTAAAGAGTTGTACCTCCTTCGTTACAACTTCTTAAGCTTCTGGACCCCTCTCCTAAGTCTTGGAATTCCAGCACTTGTGACTCTGCCTCCATCTCATACCTTCTTCTCTCTGTGTGTCTTTGTTAAAGACACTTGTCATTGGACAAGTTGGATCATCCAGGATGACCTAGTACACAGATGCTTAATTTACTTATATACAAAGACAGTGTTTTCCAAATAAGATCATGCGTATAGATTCTGAGGATTGGGACATGGAGATATCTTTTGGGGGATTACCACTCAATTTATTATACGTAAAGTACATTACTTAGATTATTATCTCCTGTTTCCTTTTACTGTTTAAATAAGATTGCCTACCATTGAAACTGCATATTATATTTGATTCATACTTTTAATCGACAGCATGGTTTATAGGTTTAAACAGTTAGTGCTAGTCCTGCTCCAAGTTCTTTTCTGATTTCCTTATTTTATTCCATCCCCACATGATCCCTACTTAACAACATATTTATATAACCTTAATTTAGTACAATTTCTAAACATATATCACCACACTTAATTTTTATAATTAATATTTAAGAATAATTAGTTTTTTAAACAGAAAATAAAAATCCTGACCCAATAAGGTCTTACTATTTTGCTTTATTTACTAATGGTCATAAGATTGGTATGTGAAAACTTCATTAGTATGAAATCTTAAATTTACATCCTTTATTTCTAATGTTTCTTTGCTTTAGTGATCCCAGAACCAAGGCAACCACCTTTTTCAGTAACAGGATGTATCCTGCTCACAGGGAGTGTCTCTCTCTTGGCCAAGAAGACTCTGAATGTGAGCAGCTTTGCTCACGATTGTCTGGTCCCATTCCTTGCTCCAAATGTTGACATTCAAGACTAGCTAGAACTTCTCAGACTGTAGAGCTCTGACCCTTGGTTCAGATCTCATTTGGCATTCAGAAACATAGTCATTATGTTACAACAATCACATTATCACCCTGGAAATAATTTATTCCTCACCCAAGGCTTTAATACAATAGTTTCCCATCTTTATAATTTCTATCCCCAAAAAAGATTCTCTTTCATTTCCATCTCCAAACCTCTTTAATCTCCCTGCTCCATTCTTGGACTTCATTTATAAAATCATTAAAAAGTGGGATATTATTTAGTCTTTGGTACCACTAAATATTTACTGATCAAATGCTCTATATATGGTCTTCCCAGGATGCCTAGAAAAACTCTATTGATCTTTTATATTTCCAATCCAGAATCATCTTTTGTGAAGCCTTCCCTGACCTGAAATAAGAAGAATTGATCTTAGCTTCCTTTCTGTCTTATAGATCGCCTCCCATATGTTTTTCTTATGTAATATTGTCCAGTCGACAAGAATCTTATAAGGATATAGGATTTATCCTCAATACTTTTCATGTTTCTTGTCCCCTGTTTATACTCACTTAAAAAATATATCTCTTCTTCCACAGAATTTTTAAATACAAAGCAAGAAACATAAGAAACAGAAAATAACTTCTCCTTTCTCCAAATGAACATATTTTGAAATGAAACTACTTTAATAAAGTTCTTGAGATCAATAAGAAATATCTAGGAATGTGACATTATGCATTAATAAAAAGCACAGATCTGCTGCTACTGATGTTTAACAGTTGCATTTTTTCCATCTTAGGAGTCAGTAGCTGTGCAAGATCTACTGGTAAATGGCATTCACTAATGTTTTATGTCCTTAAGAACATAAAAGAGGGAGAAATGGACATATAGAAGATGACAATATGGTGTGGTCGGATCTAGGAGTACAGTATTTGTGGAGTCTTGAAATAACTCAACATGGCAGAAAAGCAGATAAATTTGTCCCAAAGTATCAGAGAAAATCTACAATGCTCTCTGTCTGTTTAGATGCACTTCAAGATATTGCTTGTACCCATGAGCATCACACACTTGTGTAATTTTAAGCAGAGACCTGGGCCAACAATTCACACATCTTATTCCACGCCCAGTCTTAGCCCCACACATACATAACCACAAAGACAAGCTGAAAAACTCAACACCTGATTTAATACTTAATCAGTTACATTTCTGCTACTAACCAGAATAAAGCAGTAATGGTCCATTTATTAGAAAAAATTTGCTCTCTCTAAATGGCCTTGAAGTTTTTTTTTTAATGTTGCAAAACCGTCTATTGAATAACACAGAAAAATGTGTTACATAGTTCTAAACTGGTTTTGATAGAGTCCTAGGTGGGAGACATGCCCTCAGATGGGGCCTGAACCTTCTTTCTCTAAATGAAGACACCATGTCAGGGCAAAGTTTCCTGCAAAGTCTTGGATGAGTCATTGGCTCCACCCTTACTCCACTCTGCTGCAGCTTGATCAGTGTGAATGAATATGTCTTAAGCCTCCTACTATGAATGTTTGTGGCTATAAAATATTACCACTCATGTATCTTAATAAAAAATCATATTAAAACTCCATGAAAAACAGAATTGGCATTTGTGGCCTCAAAGGGGTTTTTGTCATGACATGAATGACAAAAGTACTTTTTATCCACATTTTCAAAGCTTCAGTCTATTATTTTCCTATTTAAAACTCATAGTGCTGGTTCAGATTCGTTGACAATGCTTAATGACTAATATTTCAATACTTACATGACACCACCTGATAACTAAGCATTGTGCACTTTTTAAAGTGATTTTTGTTGTCGTGAATTAACTTACTATTATATGCAATTTTCAAAAATGTCAAGAAGATAACTTATTTTTGTGTAGGATCCTGCTTTTGCTGCTTTGTTAACCACCCAAACACAAGTGCAAAGAGAGATCGTAAGTAAGCACAATGAACTAAGGAAATCGGTCTCTCCCCCCGCCAGCAACATGTTAAAAATGGTAAGAAGTGGCTGTGGAAGGGGCAGACAACTAGCACCTGGCATATCTTTAGAACTTAGTGATTTACAATGCTTCTGTCTAGTTCACATTTTATTTGGACTCTTAGATGGAAAGGACTGTGTTTCTTATTTTTGTTTTAAAAATGATTGCATGACTTAGCAAAGTTACAAAGCTTATTAAGTTGGGAAGCAGAATTAAAAGCCAAATCTTTGAGCATCTTGTGTGAAACCATTGCATTTTTTGTTCACTGTCTTTCCTAGTATTTTTCCTTCAGTCAAGACACCCCCTTTTCTACAGAATCAGTGCCTTGTCAATGTAAAGAAAAACTCACTTCCCAGGGCATAGTCCTAAATTTTTCTCAACCTGGTCAAACCCACATCTCCCATATGAAAACAACAGGCTGCAAGTGAAGCTGGAATAATCCAGATTGGCTAATTAATATTAATAATCAATCCAGATTATCTAGAATATTAAAATATTCATGCTTACTTTGAGCAACCCCGTTTCTAAAAATCCTAGGGAAAGTCACAGGTGCCTGGCTCTTTCCGTTTTCTCCCCTCCCCCTTTTCCTATCCTCTGTCACTTCCTTAAGCATCCCCTTCTATACAAAAAATCATTTTTAATAACAATGATAAGTAGCTAAGAGGTCCACAGAAGTTTTAAAGTATTGTGACTCAATCTATAAATAAGACTATAGGCTTCATTGTAATTGAGTCATTATGCATATTGTATTTCTCTTGATATTTAGGAATGGAACAGAGAAGCAACAGGAAATGCCCAAAAGTGGGCAAATAAGTGTATTTTATCACACAGCAGTTCAGAGGACAGGAAAACCAGTAAGTGAATTAGCAAAAATTTGCCAAAGAAATGAATAAATACAGACCTCTGTAAGATATTGCATTAAGAAGGCTTCATGCACAAATGCTGCTGTCTTTCAAAAGTCATTTGATATTTTTATTTCTATGTATATAAAGAGGTAATTATAATATAAACGATTTTGTGTATTATGCATATAATTCTCTCACAAGGCCTCATTTCTTCCTCTCTATCAGCTCATGAGTAAAGAAGGTCATGTATCATCTCTTTTGTAATTTTAAAGTTAGAAAAGCAAGATTTGGGAGAAAGTGATTTATCCAAGAACACTACTTGAAGTAGTATCATACTCGAAGTTTTTACCCAAGTTTTCTCATTTCTAACCTACCACCCTTTTGGGGCTAGTATATGGCTCTTTGATGTTTGAAGTCTACTTTTGTATTCATAAAATATATTGATATATGTTTAATTACTTCTGAGTTTTGCTCTAAAAATTTAATATTTTAAGATCATTAAGATGATCATATTCAAAATTCATACAAAATTAATATTTTGAAACTGTTTACTTTTAAGTTCTTTATATCAAGAAGTCAAGTATTTTCTACATACTAGGTGCTTATGATGTATGGAATATTAGAGTAGCTCAAAAGAATAATAGGACACATCTCACCAAAGATTAAAAACTATGAGAGAAAAAATTTTGGTGTATGAACTTTGCATAAAATACTCCACCAACATTATCGAAATGGCACAAATATAGGCAAGCCCAATTTGAAAACACTTAATCATTTATTTGTTATTTTAGTTCAAGTATCATTTATAATGTTGGTGCTATAATAATAATGATGAAGTTTTGAAGAGAGATGACCACTGTTGGTAGAAGGCTGAACAGTCCTGAAGATCCAAGTGTACTATTAAGATTTTTACTCCCTTTTCTTCACTGGTTTATACTGTTTGTAGGACGCGTCTAGACAATACACTTCAAGCCACTAAAATGTAGATAGTAACTGAGAGCTTACAAAAAAATAGGAAAATATTTCTTGGTTACAAATCACTTTTGCCTCATTCTGAGGAGGATTTGGACTGTGACTTTCTATTTTCCTGATAAGAGAAGACTCAAAAGTTCTGAAAATTGTCCTCCATCGTGATGTCAGTTATGATTGGTACTCTTAAGACTATCTAAAGAGCCTTTTTTAATGTCTCAAAAAATCATAAACTTTTTTCCTGAATCCTACTTGTGAAAAATCTCTGGGGAGGGTGTCATAGACAGGAGAAAAAGGATAAAAGTTGGTCATTTCCCTTACCAAGCCTACAACACCAAGATGAGAGCACATGAGACATAACCAGTTGAAAATTTCATTGCATAAATGATTCTTCTTTGACAATGTGGAGAGAGGAGGAATTTTTGAGAACAGGGTATTATCAACCTATTCAAAACTGCATGTTCGGATCTAGTTGTGGTGGTACATGCCTGTATTTCCAGCACTTGGAGAGGCAGAGGCAGGAGGATTGAGAGTTCAAAGCTAGTCTAGACTACATAGTGAGACCCTATTTCAAAAAAAAAAAACCCAAAACAACAAAAGATTTGTATGTTCAGGCCAGCCTCATTATGCTAGGCACTTCTATCTTCTAACCCAGTTTAAAGCTCGTAAGGAAGCAGGCAGCCTCCTTCCGTATTAACCTACAGCAATTACGGTACCTCTGTTCAAGGGCAGCATCTTTGCATTTGTGTAGTCAATTTTTTTTTTTTACCATTGCAAGTTTTATTGCTTTCCTCATAAATGATCCATTCCTTCCTAGGAACAAGATGTGGTGAAAATCTCTATATGTCAAGTGACCCTACTCCCTGGTCAACTGCAATCCAAAGCTGGTTCAATGAGAGAGAAGGTTTTACCTACGGTGTAGGACCAAAGGGTCCTGATGTAGTTGTTGGACATTATACTCAGGTAAGAGGAACAGCTCAAAAACACCTCTGAATGCCTCTGTCACATCCTAATACGGAGAGCTCCTCCAGGCTATGACCGCATCCAAGTGCAAAGGAACAGAGTGGAGAGCAGAGTCTTGGCATCTGCCTGATGCTCCATCCAGACCATCACTTACGTTCATGGTCAGAAAGATTCTAGGTTAGGGAAGCATACACCATACTGTTTCTGAAAATAAGTGGATAAATGCTGAATATGAGCAAAAAATTTAGTATTTTAAAAGTTTATGACTTTAATTCAATAACTTAAATGTTCTATAAATTTATGTAACTACAAAAGTAGCATGTTTCAGTGTTAACATTTGTTAACTATTTTTTTAATATTTTCTTCTTTTCTATACACCCTCATATATTTATTCCCTTATGAATTTATAGCTGGTTTGGTATTCATCTTACCAAATTGGATGTGGAATTGCCTTCTGTCCCAATCAAGAGAATCTAAAATACTTCTATGTGTGCCAATATTGTCCTGTGTAAGTACATGCTTCAGAGTTTAATGCCAATAATTCCATGAGCAATTTAATATTTTAAAATTCTCATATATTAAACAAACCAGAATATTAAGCATATTTCAATAAAATGTTTTTTTAAGATTGAGACACTTTAATTTCTCAGGGAAGAGATAAAATACTCAGCTACAAATATAAAATGTGGAGCTCTCATTCCTCATTTATAAAATGATATAATTTCTGTCAATTAGCTTTCTGTAAAGCCCAGGGTTACTCTATGAGCATGTGTAGTGTGCCTTTCTCCAGACTTCCTGTTATCAGATTTTGCTAATTTCACACTCCAAGACTATAGAAGTTTTACCAGTAAACAATGGTGTTGGTCAGATTGCAAATGGATGTTGACATACTGTGATTTCACTCCTTTTTGCTCAAATGTTCCCACTCTTAATCATCTTTAAAAAAACACTCATATTGTTACCATTATAAAGCATTCATTCTTTGAAGTCCCAAAGGATTTTCAGGAGAACCTTAATGTATTTCAGAAGCCAGAAAAAGGTAGTACATAAAGTCTTTGTTTCTCAGAGTTCTCACAGAAAATCACATAATCATCTTCTGTAAGGTCCTGATTTGTAGCAAGAAGCATGTCCTTTTAGCAAACAGTATATTTGAAGCTATCCACAAAAATCCTGGATTAAATGTATAGTCACAACACATCTTTGAGTTTTAATTTAATATTTGAAATTCTCTATTGCAGGAAGGAGGGGGCCACAAAGCCAAGCCTTCTACAGTACTGTTTAGAGATTAACCATCCCAGAGGGTGGAGGGTTCCACTTTGAGAAGTTTGACCTCCAGAGTTATTTTTCCGCAAGCACCTCTTAGGTTTAGCAGAGAGAATCGAAAGGCCCTAGTAGTATGCATCCAAACTCCAGGCCTTGCCCTCAGAGCATGGCATGGAAGCCAGGCCCTGAAAATAGCAACTGAAATGAATAAGGAAAGGAAGCAGGGACAAAAAAATTTCCAGAGGTTTTTTTACCCATTTCACAATTTTTCCGAGCAATCACGCCCCCTCCCCCCCACACACACACACTCACAGCTGTGTTCTGTACATTGCCTTGGGCCCTCACCTACTTGGCCTCATTGAGATGTAGATTCCTGCATATTGTTTTCAAAGTCATGAAATAGCTCATAGGATACTAATGAGCAGTGCGTGACAGGTTAATGCATGCAGAATGATTACACCCTGGATTTGGGTGCTTATCACAGACATTCCCTTTATCATAAACATAAGAATCTCACACATGCCGTCTCTAGAAACTCCTAAGACTTCCTTAAGCATCCATTCCAAACCACACACAGCTAACTAGTTAAAAGTCACAACCTCCATCAAGAAGAAAAGAAGCATGCTTTTAAGCTTTATTTTCCATATTAGAAGAATTATGATAATTATGGTCTTTCAAATACAGACTCTATGGTAGTATTGAGCACTCATGACTGCAGCCACCTACCTCTAGAATCTTCTCCTTTCTCTAAGAGATGTGTTTTGCTCCTTACCAGTACCCTGAGTGCACCGCCTTAGCAATTTGACCAATACCATTGAGGAACACAAAGGGTGCTGCCCCATTAAAATATACTCCATCAATTCAAGGCACCAGTTACCTCAATTCAGTTGCTCAGCCTGTGGAATTATGATCACAGAGATGAGTTCATCTGTGAAGCATTCTCTGGATTTGGATTGTTTTCTGACTTACACTTTGGAAGTCACAATTTCTCAGTTTTGTTGAATAACTAAAAGCAATGAAATATGGATATTTGGTGACTGATGTGTGCATGTAAAAACCAAACAACAAATGGCAAAATATTTGACATTGTGTTTCAAATTTCAGTGGCAATAATGTGAGTAAAAAAAATACCCCTTACCAACAAGGAACACCCTGTGCCAGTTGCCCTGGCAGCTGTGAAAATGGACTATGCAGTAAGTCTGAAGTGCTTATCTCACCATTATATAGAGTTGATATTCTCTTTTCTTTTTATGAAATAAGAAATCTCAAACAGGGTGTGGTGGTTCTCAGACCTTTAATCCCAGTTACTTAAGAAGCAAAGATCAGGAGGATTGAGGTTTGAGGTCAGGTTTGATAGAGTTAGCAAGACTCCAACTCAGTAAGTCAGGTGTGGTGGGGTGTTCCAGCTACTGGAAGGCCGTAGGTAGGAGGATCACCAACCAAGGCTACTTTTAGTCAAAAAGGTGTAGATTTCGTGGTAGCATGCTTGCCTGGCAAGTGTAAGGCCTGAATTCAAATCCCAGTGCACCAAAAGCCTCCCCTAAACTATCCAATTAAATAATGCATTCATGCAAAAAAAAATAGAAGTGTGTTTAAATTTTTTACACATTTCAGTAACCTACATTTTATTTATAATGAAAAGAATAGCACCATCTATAACACAATAATCAAAATAAATATGCCCAAAGTGGCATTTTAGAAGATCAGAATGTATAATTTTAAGAATATTAAAGCCATATTATGGTTCATTCTAGACCAGCACACCAAACACTACTGTTTCTTTTGGGTCAGAGCGTTCATCATGCTGACTTCTTCACTTCTTTTCTTCTTTTCTGTAGTATAATTAGGATTATAGTGTTTCCTTTTTTTTTTTTTTGCAGTACTGGGGATTGAACTCAGGACCTACACCTTGAGCAACTCTACCAGTCCTTTTTTTTTGTGACGAGTGTTTTTGAGATAGGATCTCGCAAACTATGCCCAGGCTGGTTTTGAATTGTGATCCACCTGATCTCTGAGCCACTAGCACCTGGCCTATACTGTTTGCCTTTATAAATTATCACTTTTTCTACAATTTGATAGTGTTTTGCCCACATTTTTAATGAAAAAAATCCAATCTGCGTACAGTATTTCTCAAAGAACAAACATTGCTGCAAAAGAAAGAATAAAATAAATGTCATCTCTCTCTCTCCTTTCTATGGGAGTCCTGAGGTTTGAAATCAGGACCTCACACTTGCTAGGCAGGCTCTCTACCTCCTTGCTAGACCTTGTAAGCCATGCCCCCGGCCCCTTTTGCTTTAGTTATTTTTCAAACAGGGTGTCTTGCACTTTGGCCTGGGCTGTGATCCTCTTATTTATATACCTCTCACATGGCTGAGATGACAGGTGTGCACCATTGTATCCAGGATATCACTAATTTTTTGCCAGGGCTGGCCTCAACCAAGATCCTCCCAGTCTCCTCCTCCCAAGTAGCCAAGAGGGTGTGAGCCACTACACCCAGGCATATATCTCATTTTTAATTGTCATGAATAGAATCAAAAATAACTCTTGACTTTCTGTAGTTAAGATACTTTTATTGAAACTATTATGAATGATTGCATTACAGATTCATTCTCTAAGATTCTTACCTTTCAAGACCATTCACCTGAACTTAACATTCTTCCTGTAGCATTCTTCCTGAATCAATTGTATGGCTATAATTCAGAATATTAATATCAAGGCAATAAACAAACTAAGAAGTAAAAAAGGTGAATCTTTACACCTCTGCTGAATATTATTTGCTAAGGAATTTGGAATTCATCCTATTAGCAGGAAGCACTCAATTGAAAATCTTACACAAAGAGAGACAATGTCACAAGCATGTATTGTAAAAGCTTTCTAGTAATAGTATGCAGAAATTATTAAATAAAAGTCAACAATTATTAAATAAAAGTAAACAATGTAGGTTTAAAACACAATGGGCCAGTGGGTGGGAGGAGGGGGAAAGGAGAGGGTGACAGGAAGGGGGGCAGTGAACATTACAGAAAGTACATTATAATGCATGAAAATAGCACAATAAAACCCATCAGAAAAGGAGGGAGAGAAGGGGGAGAGCATCTAAGAAAGAGTAATAGAGATGGGCTGAATTTGATGAAGGTAGCTCATATGCATGTTGTAAATATTACCACGAAACCCTTTTATACAATTTATGCTAATAAAAATCTAAGAAGATAAAATAAAAAACAATGGGTGTCATTACTGCCAAAATAAAGAACAAGAACAGTATTCAAGTGTGGCTGAGTGCTCATGAAAAGAAATGAGAAAGGTCAGTTTGGTTCCAGCTCCAGGCTCAAGTTACTGAGGAGTTGGAATGTTATATTAGACTGTGGGAGGAGCCCATGCCCATACCCAAGAAATATTGACCTTGTGGGTGGTAGTATGATATGTTTAGCTTGAAATTTGTTGAGTCTGAGTTTCCTGGGGAGTATTCAAGCAGAAACATTGGTAGGAAAATGGAAACACAGTCATCTTTTTACATCTATACGCACCCATATTACTCCAAGTCAGGCACTGGTGGCTTACACCTGTAATATTAGCTACTTAGGAGGCTGAGATTGGGAGGGTGGGGATTTGAGACTGGTCTCAGCCCATCTCAATGGCAGAAAAGCTGGGTGTGGTGACACACTCCTGTCATCCTAGTTACGACAGGAGGGTAACAATGCAGGCCAGCCTGGGCCAAAAGCAAGACCATATCTTCAAAATAACCAGAGCAAAAAGGGCTGGAGGTGTGGCTTAAGCAGTATGGTGCCTGCCTAACAAGTGTGAAGTCCTGAGATCAAACCTCAGTATCACTGAAAAATTAAAATAAGTAAAAAATAATCATCTGTTCCAGAAAGAAAGCATTAGAGTATAAAGTGCTGTTCAGTCACATGAGATGATGGAAATATTTATCCTCCAAACATTTGAAATGGGGCTGGTCAAAGTAAGATTAATTTTTGTTGTGGCTTCCACATCGGACCCTACAGATGGAGAGATGTATTGACACTTTACTCTGCTGCTGAGGGATAAAAGAGTAGGTCAGTTCATTTTAAAACATATGTATCACTGAATTTAAAATTAGTGCTAGATCAGTCAGTGAGTTCAACTAAGACACATCTAATGTCCATCAAAACACAGAGGGACTACCATCGTGGAAGTAATACTGACATAAATACCCACACCTACCTACTCCCCCACACACTTTGAATGTATGGATTGTTTTGCTGCTACTACAGAAAATGACAATATGGTAATGAAATCTATTTTCATTACAGCCAACAGCTGTGAGTATGAAGATCTCCTCAGTAACTGTGACTCCTTGAAGCAATCAGCTGGCTGTGAACATGAGGTGCTCAAGGAAAAGTGCAAGGCTACTTGCCTATGCGAAAACAAAATTCACTAACATAACTAGTGTGCTTTGCACAGGACTACATAGAAAAGCCTGCAGCATTTAGTTGAGACATATCAGGGGAAATGTAGGTGTGCTAGATACAAATTTCATTGCAATGACAAAACTTCTTTTTCTGCTGGATTTTACTGTAGTCTTGAAAGTCACATTTCTATGATAACTTTGGATGTCGATATAAATTTGTTGCTTTAAATGTAACAAATTGAATCAAGTCAAGAATTTTGAAAGTTCACTAATCACAGAGTGTAGGTCTCTAGAGCTTTGGATCAAAAATGGAGAATTATCTGTCTCCAGAAACAGCATATCATTGTCATTCCTACGCTTGATGGTTCACTTGTAAAAAGAATGAATTCAAACCTTGACATCTCTATTTGTCATATAGCTTTTCTTTAAGGCAAAGCCACCAATCTGTTGAATAAAGAACTGATCTAAGCAACTACGTGAATGTGGTTCTCATGCAATATTTCATGGTATTCATAATTAACCCCAGATAAAAAATTAGATAGTGCAAAATATCCAAAATGGTACCTTTAAAGTTAAGTTTTAACAACAGCACACACACACACAGAGTTCTCTTCTTCTTTGTTCTTTCTTCCTTGGCATATAAGAGGGCATAGTCCAACACAATACACAAATACGTAAAAAAGAATACCAGCTTTACTCAGTTGCTTATAGAAAATTGGATGGACAGAAATGCGCTTTAATTCATTCCTTGATATTACTGTTATCCTAATACTACAACTAATGACATTTCAGAAGATCTGTAGTTTTCATTCACACAAAAAGAAAATTTCTAAATAAACAGCACCTTAGGCCAGCAGTATATTAACAGAAAAATACACCTTGACCAAGATTTGGTCTTGTTATTAGAATATGCACAAGTTAAAGTGCGTTGTCCAGAACACACGTTATCTGTTATGGAGAGCATTCACTGTGTGCTCGGCTCCCCGTGAATTTTGGGGGGAATTTATTCTTGACAAAAATAATAATTATTCATTCTACCTTTAATCACTCAATTGATTCATAAACTCTCTTTTGAAATATTTAAACCTATTTCAGAGAAGAAAAAAAGAATATATATTTTTGTAATTATAAGAGCACACAGGCACAGTGACAATGTTTGAAAGAAATACAGAAATTTGCATTTGCGTGGTTTTCATATGACGTGTGTTCAGTTTTTGAGGTGGTATTTGAAAGGTTTTAAATACAGACTTTTCTTTAGGACTTTAAGATTAAAGTCTTTGTGGGTAGATCTGTTCTTGTTTCAGAAGTGCCTGGAAATGACGTTTATAAATGTTTTGTGTATTTGGAAATCTTTTGCTTTTTTATGGCATTTTATACTTATATCTAATTCTAATTCTAGTGACTGGTAAGAAGTAGAAAATACATTTTAAAAACCTCTATATGAGACTCTTTCTAATATAATTGCTAATAAATAGTTAAAACATTCAAAACACATTTTCCCACTAAAGTTGTTTTAGTATGACATGGTTTTGCCTTATATAATTTGATTTGTATGATTAAGCCTACCTCATTCTACTGTAATTGTTACAGTTCTGAGATACTCTATAACCATGTTTTTTTCAAAAATTTGAAGATGATCTTATAGCTCTATTTTTTAAATTCAACTTAAATGTCTGTATCTGAACTAAATATCTTCAGGAAGAAAAATCCTGCCACAAATATCAGAGCCTATAATTGCACACAACTCCAAATATCCACGACACTCTATTTTAAGGAACTTGCTGCATCTTTTTCAGAATGAACATTTCCAGTGGACATGATGGTACCAACACTAACTCAAGGACGATGGTTAAGTTCCTCTTTTATTAACTGTTCACTTATTCTTTCTTCATGTGATCAAACATCATTTATTTCTGACATTTGGTTTTCCTCAAGCTATTCATTTTAATACTTCCTTGCTTTTGTTTATGTGAGATTTTCTTATCCATGACTGTTCATAATCTTACTTTTAACCTCAATGCAAGGTTTTAGAAGACTTGATTCCTTCCTCTTGTGTCACAGAAGGAACATGTTTGGTTTTCTTGTGAAAATCTGGTTCCTCTATTCAATGTTAAGTTCCCCCAAGCAAGAGCCATGTCTGTTTATCCTATAACCTGCAATGCATGTGCATGCTATATGCACATAGAAGGCCATCATTTAATATTTGCTGCAAGAATGCAGAGGTCTTTATTACAACTCTGTTCTCTATCAGGTTTTACTAAGAGGGAGACAAGATAACCAAGAGTACAGAATGTAAGAAGTAAATAAATAATAAAAATTTTACAAGTGTTTGAAAATTCATGACTATGTTTCCAAATGAAAATTATCTTTAAATTATTGGCTGATATGTATTAGTTCCAAAAAAAATCAGATACAAACATTTTAAAGGTAGAAGATAACCGTATAAATAGCTGAGGCCTTTTCTATATGTTAATTTTTTACTTTTACTGTGAAATACATTCACACTGTACAGTAACCTGCCTGAAGTGGTCTCTCTCTGAGAGGAGCGAGGTTGAAGAGAAAAAGTTCATCATCTTTCAGTTAAAGTGGATTATTTTATGAAACCAATGTCATATTAAATCAGTCATTTTAGAAAAGGGATCTCAGTGCCGAAATTAATGATAGTCAAGATATGTGGAGGGAGATTCCAAGATGGCGGCTAGAGGGAGGAAGCAGAAAGCGAGCCTCCGATAGCGAAATCTTGGAGAGATGCTGGAGACACACTTTGCAGGCATAATCACTGAGAAAAGGCATAACTTTGACCCCTCCACATCTCCAGCCGGCGCAGAGAATCTCCACTTCACGTTAAACAGAGAAACCAGGAGGGCCCCCGAGCTGCCAGTCGCCCACACCCAGACGGCTTGGGAAGACGCAGACAAGGTGAGCTTCGCAGTACCATGGTACTCCCACAGACAAGCCTGGGCCAGAGCAGCATAGCCCCCTGGACAGACTGACCCCCACCCGGGGAAAAAAGAGAAACTGAGTAATAAGCAATAAGAGCAATAAAGACATGCTGGAAAGAGGGTGGGGCACACTGAGCACTGAAGATTGGGGGAAGGGAATCCTTCCCAGAACTGTAAATAAACAAGCTGGGCAGGCTAGAGAGGCTCCAGCGGGAGCCAGGGCACGTGAACCAGGAGCAGGAAAGCTTGTGAGAGTGGTGGAGGGAAGAAAACTCTACAAGAGAGAGGGGGGAAGACCCACTTCCCACATGAGCTGTAAACAAGCATGCAGCTGGCAGGAGCAGCAGCACTGCCCAGCAACCAGGAGCAGGAAAGCTTGTGAGAGTGGTGGAGGGAGGAAAACTCCACAGGAGAGGGGGGAAGACCCACTTCCCACGGGAGCTGTAAACAAACATGCAGGCCTGAGAAAGCAGGTGCAGTGTCACCTCCCCCAGTGTGCTTGGAAAGGGGAAAGCCTGTAGCAGAGGCTCCTGCACAGGAGAACTCTGAGTAAACAAAGCCTGCGGGGCCAGGTGAGTGTTAAGCTCACTCCTGAGATCTGCATAAATAACACCTCCAGCAACAGCAGGCTGACAGCAGCAGGCAGGTGAGCCACAGCCACAGATACCATTCTCAGAACTGCCTCCAGACTTTTTTTTTTCTCTCTCCCTACCTTTGATGAGAAAACAACCGAAGTACACCTGCATGCTGAAAATCTTACTGAAACTGTATTGCATTTGAACTTGGATACTTTATGGGTTTTTGGGGTTTTTTTGTGCAGTTTTGTTCTACTTTATGCATCCCCTTTGATGAGACAACTACAGAACAACATCTGAGGGACCATCTCCAGGATTGGAGACTGAGACGGACACCCAAATTATTAAGACGGAAACTTCATTGCATTTGAACTTGGAGGTTTTTTTTTTTTTAATTATCTATTTTTCATTTTGTTTTATTTTATTTATATATATATATTTCTTTCATTTACTTATTTTTTATTTTTATTCTTATCTTTATTCTTTTTATTTTTTATTTTCAATCCTCTCTCTGTCTCTCTAATGTCTGTTCAGCTTACTGTCGATTAGTACACTAACACTCCTTGTTTATACCTTTGAAGCTTTCTTGTTTGATTCCTTGTTTTGTTTTCTCCTACTTGTCTGTTTCTTTGTTTTTCCCTTTTCTTTAACTTCTTGCTTTCCATCTTCTCTCACCCTTCCATTCTAAATATTACCATTGTTATTATTACAAGCTAGAAAATACTTAATTGCACACAGTACAGGGACAGTAACAACACCTAGGACAATGACAGGAAGACAGAAAAAACAGGGAAACCAGTTTGCCCACAGCAAAAACTTAGTACAGGAACCAGAGGGGAATGAAGAAAACAGGTACTCAGATCCAGACTCCAACAAAATGAAGATAAACTATGCCAAAGGACCCAATGAAGCCCACAAGAATAATTTAAAAGAAGACACACTACAAGTACTCAATGAGAATTTTATAGAGATGATACTGGATAGGGTCAACCAAAATGTACAGGAGACACTCAAGAAATTCCAAGACAACAAAAATAGAGAATTTGAAAAAGCAAAAGAAGAAATAAAGGAAACCATAGAAGCACTGTATAAACACCAAAGTGAAACAGAGAACATGATTAATAAACAGATAAATGAACTCAGGACAAAAATAGACAACATTAAAGAGGAAACTACCCAGGATATGGAAAACCTCAGAAAACAGAACAAATCAAAATATGTGGAAAATTTAAAGACTCTCATATGAGAATTACCACTAACGGGAAGGCTTGTTTTTGGAACACTTTCTCATCAAAATTATAGTGGTTTTTCACCTGTTTCTTCAAGGCCCACCCAGTTAACAGCTAGTTGCTAATAAATTGTCAGTAATACCTTAATGCATTTCCCTAATAGAAAAAACACATTTTGACAGGAACCTCCTATGGATTCTGTTTTTATCTCAATGCTGTAACTTTGTTTTGTGGTAGAACTTCATGTACAATATTAAGCTAGTAGGAGGAATAACTTGGCCCAT